AGTAATGAAGATGAGAGGCAAGGAAAAGTGGCAGCCATGTCTAGACCCCTCTTCTCTTTCCTGCGTGTAGTATAGCTAGCAGAAGTGGTTACAGTCCTCAGGGAAGTCAGCACACACAACGCTGTTGCTGCTGCATTAAGAGAAATAAATCACAATTTCTACAAAGTTCTCATCTTGTCATTTGAGAACCCAGAACTCCCAAGCCTGCCTTATCACTTTTCTCCAAGTAAATTGATGTGAACCTCTCCTGCTGTATTGGGGGAGGCAGGAGGGCTAATTGGGAACCAAATAGCACTCCCAGGAGACATGCCTGTGGAGTGACCCTTTGGGATTGGGTGCCAAGGGTGCTTAAAACCTGATTTAATCCCTTGTTGTTATATCATCTTTCGGTTTTAATTACAAGAGGGTTTGATTAGGGAAATCCCTGAACAATTTAAAGAGCCTGTCACCCAACTAGATGAGATTATGGTGTTTGAACCTCTGTTTGGAGCCATTTGAGGGTCTCTACTCAGTGCACAGGTAGGCATGAACACTGACACCTTAATCTTCAGGTTTTTGAGACTGAGACTGTCTTCAAGATAATTGGATTAGAGTGATGGACTCTCATCTTGACTCTATAAAAGAAAATTTCAAGGCCAATTTGTTCCTTTTTGTGTTCTCTTGAACTCTGAGAAGACAAATCAGTATAAAGCAGAGCAGACTTGTGTTTAGGGGCTAGAAGTGCTGCGGAGAGAGAGAGAATCCGTTCCCATCCACAGTTCCTTTATCTCAGGGGAAGTGGATGACAACTGACAGTAGAAACGAGTGGTAGTGGTAGGTATGTGCTTGTGAGCAGAGTTCGTGGACAATGTTTATGAACCCTCAACTCCTGTGTGGAGGAAAGGGGGTTTTTAGTTCTCTGGGCAGCTTGATCCCAGAGTCTAGCTCTCTAACTAGAGAACAGAGATTTCCTGGTTAGCACCAACTTTGGGAATTGCCTTATTGGTAACCCCAATTTTGTGAGTTTGAGAATGAAACCAGACAGAAGAAGAGATTTTCTGATGTAGTGTGCTCTTTGGAGAAAGAAGAGGATCATCTTCAAATTCTTGCATAGCATGCTTGGAGATGAAAACTACAGTTACCGGACAATACAGGTCTGATGGGAAGGGGGATTATTTAATAGCCTCCAAAATGTGCTTGCCTCCTGGAGGCAATCTAAAAACCACTGGGTGGTACTATAATTCTTGAGTAGACTGTGTAGGACTCTCTGGGAAAGAGGAACTTACCAAAATGTCAAAGGGTCTCTCTGATAGCAATCCCCACCTTGCAATTTAGCTCCCTTTTGAGGGGAGTTGAGTTTTTGAGCATTTTTTGCATTTCTGTATCTGTTTCTGGGCTCCTGTGAGTTCTTTACCTTTTGTGAATTTTCTGTGGGGTACAACAGACTTTCCAGTCCTCGAATAGGAGCTAAGAACCCCTTTTACTCACAGTCCAGGAAACCTAGAGACAAACTATTCTGTAAGTGTATTTGGAGATTTTGTGGGACATTTTCAGGTGGGAGCAATGAGCCCATGAAAAATAATGACCTGGTAAGGTCAGTCCCCAGGACTAAACTCAATTCATGTGAGTCTAGAATCTTGGGAAACCCTGGGCCATGGATTGCATAATTAAATATCTTTGCTTTTAATTAAATCTGTCATCAGGTTTGCTCTAGTATAAAGATGTATGTTGGTAGAGGCTAAGAGTTGTGAATTTAAACACCAACAGCATACTACTCATACTAAGAAGAAGCACCTAGATGGCTCAGTGGATAGAGCACTGGGCCCAGAATCAGGAAGACCTGAATTCAAAATCCGGTTTCAGACACTCACTAGCTGTGTGACCTTGGGCAAGTCACTTAGCCTCTGTGTGCCTTAATCCACTGGAGAAAGAAATGGCAAATTACTCCAGTATCTTCATCAAGAAAATCCTATGGACAGCACTGGCATGCTATGGTCCATGTGGTGTTGCAGAATCAGACACAGCTGAACAACAACAACCACAATACCACCATGAACCTGGGTATTACTTGGGCAGCAGGTGTGGAGGGGATGAAACCCAAAGCTATTTTTCACAGTTTCACAAAATTGGAAGGGGGCCTCATGGTCATGTAGCTCAAACCACATTTGTATACGAATCTCTTTTACGACCTATCCAGAACACGATCTTTACTCAAAGTCTGATAATAAGGAGAACTCTGCTACCTTCTGAGGAAGCCCATTCTTCTTATGGACAGCTCCAGTGATTAAAAGTTTTGCCCTCATGGAGTCAGGGAGGGCTTGTCCCAGTGCTCCCTCCTGTAGGTCATTACTTAAACAAACACACCAACTTCCACCTCTCACGGCTACTAGCTTGTTTCCTTACTAAATCTCTCTCTGCATTCAAAGCAGTCTGTGTTATGAATATCTCAGAGATCACTAATGCAGAAGAAATTCTCTAATTGGCTCACCACTCCTACCTCTCTGGGGTTTCTCCAGCTCTAGGGAAGCAGAGAGGAAGAATGAGCTAGACTGGAATTCTATAGTCTGCTCTCTGTTCTAGTTTGTTGGTACTGACCAGCCTGATTGCATACCTTTCTCCCTGCTTTCCATCATGCTCTGCCATGCCACAAATCTCAGCTCTCCTTTCTTTCTGCTGCAGAGACAGTGACAAATTCCTCCATTGTCTGCCACCTTGCCAGGAGAAGCATGGAATTCCATTCCATTGAAGCTCACAGGCCTCCTCTTCTATCTTTTCACATGACTTCTCTATATCTTGGCCACATGGATTTGTAGGGAAAGGAAGTTGCATCCAAAGTCAAATACCCCTAGAAACTGAGGGATCTCTAGAAAAATGCACGTGCCCAGCTGTGCAGACATCTTCTAGGCGTACCAAGTCTCCATGGCAATGTCCTGGGGTGAGGAGAGAGGGAAAGGGTCTACATTCACATTGAGCTTCAGTCTTTCTCTCTACATCTTCTACCCACCGTTCCTTGTTCTGCCCCTTGGAACCAAGAAGAACCAGTGTCACCCCTGGTGTGTCACCCCTCCGCCCCATGATAGACATTTAAGGACAACCATCATATCCGTGGATTCTTTTTTGTGGCATGACCCCCTTTGGCTGTCAGTTTGTGAAACCTATGGACCTTTCTTTCTTTCTTTCTTTTTTGTGAGGCAGTTGGGGTTAAGTGACTTGCACCGGGTCACACAGCTAGTGTCAAGTGTCTGAAGCCTATTTGAACTCAGGTCCTCCTGACTCCAGGCCCTTTTTTTTTTTTGCTTTTTGGTGAGGCAATGAGGAGGCTTAAGTGACTTGCTCAAGGTCACACAGCTAGTAAGTGTCAAGTGTCTGAGGTTGGATTTTAACTCAAGTCCTTCTGACTCCAAGGCCAGAGCTCTATCTACTGTGCCACCTAGCTGTCCCTCTTACAGACCTTTCTCAGAAAGATGCGTTTAAATGGATAAATAAAATACATCAGATTACAAAGGACACCAAATGTATTGAAATAAAATGATCAAATTTTTTTTTTTTAAAAAGCAAGTTCCTCAGGTTAAGGACCCCTGCTTGAAGTCTTCTCTAGGCAAAATATCCCTGGTTGCATCAACTGGTCCTTATATGGTATGGTGTCCTCTCTTCATCCTGGTCTTCTGGCTGCCCTTCTCTGGATAACAATGTTAAAGGTAGTCCTCACTACTCATTCTTTCCCTAAGAAGTCACCATGGCTTCCATTACAAGACTCAAAGTACTTAAAAAATGAATTGGATCATTTTAACAGATACTTCAGTCCCTGATCTGGGGATTACCCCTCAATTCATAGTGATAGGATCATAAAATTCGTGGATTAATTAATTAGAAAACATCTGCCCCCCCCATTTTACAGACTGAGGAAACCAAGAACTAGAAACATGAGATGACCCCCAAGATCACATGGGTACCAAGAATTGAACCTCCTTTCTCTGACTCCAAATCTATCCTGCTTTCCACTACACCAATTATTTACTGAGGCAGAGAAGGAGCATTTTGTCCAAGGGAATGCATGCCAGCTTCTCCAACCTCTGTCTGCTTGCTCCTTTGGCACAACCGCAGTCCAGATACATCAGCACCATTTTGTCACTCTTTCTTGAGTTAAGAAGCACAGGCATGACCTCTGTCTCCTCTGCTTCAGTGGAGTAGGCAACATTGATCACCTGTGTCCGCTAACATCCCAGGTCTGTCACATGTTCTCTTCTAACAGGAGAGTACTGAAGTAGTTCCAGTTAATTGAGGGGTTTGATAAATGAATTCTGGTTAAACAGGGTAAAGAGACTGGTTTGTAGCTCCAGGGTGGGGGAACTCCCCCAAAACAAAAATATCACCGTGCCCTAGTGAGTGGAAATACCAGAATGTAAGTTGAATTTTTGAATTCTTTCTAGTTCTTAGGTAGCTTTAGCTGATGTTTACATTTCTTAGCATTGGGGTTGGGAGCAGCAGAGAATCAGTACACTTAAGGTTCTACTTTTCCCTAGCTCCCCCATTCCCCAGACTGTGAAATCACAGACTCTAATAGCTGGAAGGGATTTTGAAGATCACGTGGTTTAAACTCCCACCCCATGCATTAATTCACTTTACAATTCAACTTTAAAAATATCTATCAGATTCCTATAACATATGTGACTCTGTGCTGGGAAGGAAGAAAGGAAACAAGCATTGAAGTATCTGCCATGTACCAGGAACTGTGCTAAGCACTTTACCAATATTATCTCCTTTGCTACTCACAACAACCCTGTGAGGTAGGTACCATTATTATCCTCGATTTACAGTTGAGGAAACTGAGGCAGACATATGTGATTTGCCCAGAGTCACACAACTAAAAAGTGTCCGAGGCCAGATTTGAACTCAGCTCTTCCTGACTTCAGGTTCAGAGCTCAAACTACTGCAAGCACTGAGAAAGGAAATAGTTCCTACCCTCAAGGAACTTACATTCTTATAAACAACAGGTACATAGATAAGGAAAATCAACAATGTGGTTATCCAGCCTCTATTTGAAGACAGTCAGTGATGGGCAAGTCACTATCCACCCAAAGCAGCCCGTTCCATGGTTAGGTAACTCTAATGTTAGAAGCATCTTCTTTTATGAGGGTAGAGATAGAACCTATAATCTCATTGGTATTGGGTACTCCCAGGTGCAGAAACTTCTGCTACTCACGCAGGTTTGGGCTTTTTCCTGCCACTGATGGTTTCAGTCCTAGAGCATTGAGAGGTTGTGGTCACACAGCTAGGATGTGTCAAATTCTGGACTTGAACTCAGGTCTTTTTTATAAACAACCCAAATCTGCCTTTCTGTTCCTTTTTCCCATTGGTCAAAATTCTGCTTTCAGGGGCCGAGCAAAATGATTATTGCCTCTTTGCTATAATGATCTTTCAGATATTTGAAGACAGAAATTGGCCATCCCCACTAAGTCTCTTTTCCAGGCTAAAATTCTGTGGGTCCTTTAACTGATTCTTATACTGATGGATTTCTGGTTTCCTTACTAACTAGTTATTTCCTTTTGCATTCTCTTTGAGCTTGTTAATGTTCATCCTAGAATGGGGTGCCCAGAACTGAACACCATGCTCTAGACATAGGACCTATCTGTCACCCTAGACCACACCTGGAATACTGAGCATCTGCCATTGTGAGTGACCCTCTGTTTCCTCTGAGGCTCTCAGTACCCTGGGGCAAAGGGTGGGGGTGGATAGTACTCCTCAGGGAAAGAGCCCAGCTTATGACCGGGTGGCCTGGGACTGTCCTGGCATGTAGTTCCTGAGATTACCCCCCTTCTAGGGCCAGTGAAGGTGGCGTCCTCAGAAGTGGAAATCATGGCAGCTGATGTTCCAACCGTTTTCCTTGGAGGCAGGCAGAGATCTTGAGTCTTGGGGTGGGAGGGGTGTTTTGGAAGGGGAGCTCGTTCAAAAGGATCTGCATGGATATTGCTGGGAGGGGTCTGTGCTTCCCCCTTTGGATGACTATCTTCCACCTGGGTGGCAGATTCATCTCCCATAATTCCTGGTATCCCCCTGGCTTGGCTCTCTCCATGGCTCCCAGCTACTGCTGAAAAAGGGAAGGAGAGCTTCACATCAGAGAGATGGCTTTTTATTTGCTCTGTTATTTTCTTTCCCGTCTGAGGCAGATTTTTAAGATTCTTCCAGATTTTTTGTGGGGCATCATTCAGCAAAGCCTTCCCTGAACTCTGGGTATGCCCTGGGGCTGGTGATTGCTCTAAAGGTTTTGCCCCTGTCTGGGATGAGGAGTTTGGTCTGTCAGCCTTGTGCTTCTCTGTCATTCTTTTCCAAGGTAGTGGCACGGATCTCAGGGATACCTATAAACAGAACTCAGTGTGAGTGGCCACATCACTCTGGGCTAGACCTTGGAAATATTGGAAAGTTGGTTTTTGTACCTTTCCACCCCTCCCTCCCCTTGTAAGCATCCTTCCCTGACACAGGATCTTGGTGTGGCCCCGTATTCTTCATTAGGGTATGCCACGGAGATGGCTCTTCCTTAAAAAAAAAAAAAAGCATAGAGCTAGGAATCAGGAAACCCAAGTTCTGCTATCTTTTTTTTTTTGTGATGTAGTTGGGGTTAAGTGACTTGCCTGGGGTCACACAGCTAGTGTCCAGCATCTGAGGCTGGATTTGAACTTAGGTCCTCCAGACTCCAGGGCCGATGCTTTATCCACTGCGCCACCTAACTGCCCCAAAGCCCAAGTTCTAGACCCAGTTTTTCCACTAACTAGCTTTGTGACCTTGGGCAAGTCATTTCCCCTTCTCTGGGCCTGTTTCCTCAACTGTAAAAGAAGGGGGTCAGACTAAATTTTCTCTAACACCTCCTCAAAGCTCTGACATTCTAAGTTTTAGGTTCTAAGATTCCCCTCCAACTCTGACATTCCATAGTCTATGTTGTGAGTTCCTTTCTAGGTGTAAAAATTCTATAGTTCAGTCTGACAAAAGGATATGATATATTTAATTTTTTGAGAGGCAATCAAGGTTAAGTGACTTGCCCAGGGTCACATAGCCAGTAAGTGTCTGAGGTTGGATTTGAACTCAGGTCCTCCTGACTCCAGGACCAGCACTCTATCCACTAATATATTTTAAAGGACTCTAATGGCCAAATAATACATTTTCATGATGTATTTTACATTAAGGACTTAAAGATTTAAGCCAAAGTAATGAACGAGGTGCCAGGAGGGGCATGAAAAGTGGGAAGTGAATTTTAATGTGGGCAAGAGGGAGAATACAGACTAGGATTCTTGTATAGAATGAGCTAGACAGAGAGGGAACTTGGTCTGAATCAAAAGATTGTGAAAGGTCCAGACAAAGTGAACTCACACTTGTTCCTTAACTCTCCTTCCCCTCCCCCTGCATCTGCCTTTTACTAGCTGTGTGACCTTGGCCAAGTCACTTAGAATGGGTTCTTCACCTGGAAACCAGGAATTTATTTAAATTTTTTTTTTGTTGATAATTATGTTTCAATATAATTGACTTCCTTTTAAAAACATTATTCTGAGAAAGGGTCCATAGGTTTCACCAGACTGCCACGGGGGTCCATGATACAAAAAAAGGTTAAGAATTCATGATTTGCACACTCCCCAACCCTCAGTTTCCTCATCTGTGAAATGGGGATAAATAATAACTGTAGCACTCATCTCACAGGCTTGTGAGGTTCTAATTACGTGTGTGTGTGTGTGTATGTGTGTGTGTGTGTGTGTGTGTGTGTGTGTCTACATCTGTGTCTATATAGGGGCAGCCAGGTGGCACAGTGGAAGGAGTGCCAGGCCTGGAGTCATCTTCCTGAGTTCAAATGCAGCCTCAGACACTGGGAAAGTCACTTAACCCTGTTTGCGTCAGTTTCTTCATCTATAAAATGAGCTGGAGAAAGAAATGGCAAACTGCTCCAGTATCTCTGCCAAGAAAACCCCAAATGGAGTCATGAAGAATTTGAAACAACTGGACAACAAGATGTGCATATAATGTGAAATCCAAAACTAACTCCATTTTGTTTGGTCCTTTCCATTTTATGATTGTCCTCCATTTTGCTTTCATATAAATCATATAATTATGGGGAATTAAGATGTTGAGACAGTGCTGAGAAACTGAGGTAATGGTTGCTAACCACAAAATGTTCCTTATATCTCATGGCATGTTCTTGTAACGACCACAGAATGTTCCAGGATATTCATGTAACAACCGCAGGATTTGTAAAACTCTAAGCAATCAGAAGAGAGAATGCCCACGTTACTCAAAATTATGTAAATTGTTTGGTTCATCATTATTGACGATAAGAATGCTTTGTAAACTTCCAAATGCTGTCCTTGTGCCTACCGAGGAAGTCATGGACCTGATTGGCTGGCAGTTGCAAGCCTTGCAATAAATTGATATGTTCAGATTTAATTGCCTCAGTCCTTATCAATTTTAATGGTAACAAGAATGATCTATCTATCTATCTATCTATCTATCTATCTATCTATCTATCTATCTATATCTATCCATCTATAGACATAGATATATGCGTGTGTATAATGTAAATGGTTTATATAACCTAAAACATCATATAAATCACATATGTTAGTTGTTGCTGCTTATTATTAAAAATCTAAAGATTAGCACAATGCCTGGTACAGAGTAGGCATTTAATAAATGCTTATGACTTCTTGACTTGATTGACTTCTAAGTCCTGCCATAAGAGGATGTGGTTAAAATTAATTTTGGACTCCTCAGTAGAATAACCTTCAGAGTCTACAGCATGTTACTCTGAAAATCCTCAGTGGTGAGGACTATTTGAGCTTTGGAGAGTGGATTTAGTTTTTGGAATGAGGCCAAAATCATTGAGAAGCAAGGGGGACACAAATTAGAGAGGTGCTTACATTTGGCGTTAAGTGCATCAGTGGTAACTGTGAAATGATGAGATGGATTTTTTTTTTTATGTGGCTTGGAAATGACTCTGAAGGACTTTCTCTGAAAGTTTTATCTTACTGGCTTTAGACAATTATCTCAGCCTGTCTAGATGTTTTGGAGATAGCCAGGTGGTACAGCGAATCAAGTATTGTACTGATAGAAGACCTGCATCTGAATCCTGCCTCAGACACTTACCAGCTGTATGATCCTGGGTGTGTCCTTAAACTTCCCTTTGCCACAATTTTCTCAACTGCAATCGTGAGGATTCTAGGGTTGTCAAAAGGATCAAATGAGATAAGGTTTATACTTGTTCAGTTGTTCAGTCATGCCCAACTCTTTGTGATCCTTTCTGGGGTTTTCTTGGCACAGATACTGGAATGGTTTGCCATTTCCTTCTCTAGATCATTTTACAGATAAGGAAACTGAGGCAAATGGGGTTAAGTGACTTGCTCAGGGTCACATAGCTAATAAGTGTCTGAGGCTGGATCTGAACTCAGGTCTTCCTGACTCCAGGCCTGCTACTGTATTACCTACCTGTCCAAATATTTGCATAGTGCTTTGCAAAACTTTCAAGGGCTGTATCAATGCTAAATATTGTTATTAATCTTTGGCTTTTGATTATGTCATCCAATGTGTTAGAGAACTCTTCCAATTTTAAACCTTTTGCAAATTGGTCTAATATGCCATCTACACCTTCCTCCAAATCATTGATAAGAATGTTCCTAGGACCACAGTTTAGAATTGGTAGGAACTTCAGAGGTCATCTATTCCAATATTTTACAGATGAGAAAGCTGAGGCCTAAAGAGATTAAGTGCTTGAACCTGTATCTTCTGCCTCTAGTACTCTTTCCAATGTTCCATTGGGCCAAAGAGAGATGCATGGGTAGCGACCAAGAACAACAGGAGGGAATTGCAGAGAGGCAGATTTGGCTTGGATGTGAGGGACAGCTTCTTAACAATGAACATTATCCAAAGGTGGAATGGGATGCCTCCTGAAGTAGTGGGCCTCCCTTTCCTGGAGGTGTTTGAACAGAGCCTGGATGATGCTTGTTGGAGATGTTATAGGGGACATTGCTAGTTAGGTCAGAGAAGGTAGCCTCCGAAGGCCCGTCTAGCTTTGAGATTCTGTGATTTTTCATTCTTTAGGAACCTCCCTCCAGGCTGATGTTGGTTCACTGATTGCAACTCTTTCAATCTAGTTGTTCCTGAGCCTTTCTAATTGTCTAGCACTCAGATCATATTTCTCCATCTTCTCTATATAGTTATTGAAAAAGCCAATGCTTCAGGACACCCATGTGGAAAGATGTCTTACCGCAATGGGAAGAGATGAACTGGGCTTGGGCATGTGGGTAGCTGAGCTGTCTGCTGTTCTGATTTTACCATCCACTGCCATGTTGGAGTAAAAGGAGATCTCCTCATAGTCTGCATTGTTCTCATTCTCCTGGAAAGAAAAAAAACCCCAGTCATTCCTTTTCATTCATTCAACCAGTCTTTATCAAGTGCCTACTGTGTAAAATATGTAAGCTCCTTGAAAGTAGGGACAGTTTCATTTTTGTGTTTGTCTCACAGCGACTAGCTGAGTGCTTAGCACATAGTAGGTGCTTAGTAAAGGTTAGTTGATCATTAAATCTTTATTGATAGATTATTATGTACTAGATACCACATGAGACACTGGGGATATTAATGCAAAAATGACATATTTTTTTGCCTGCAAGGTCCACTAAGTGAGTATATTAAGAGGAACCAAATAAATAATAATAGCTGTCATTTATCTAGCACTTTGATCAATACTTTATGTAGGTCATCTTATTTGAACCTCACAACAATCCTAGGATGTAGATATTATTATCCCTATTTTACAGATGAAGAAGCTGAGGCCAGGAGGGGTCAAGTGATTTACTCAGTGATTCACACAGCTAGTAAATGTCCGAGGCAGGATTCAAATTCAGGTCTTCCTAACTCCAAGTCCACAATAAAACTTAGCTGAGAAGTCAGGAACCTGAGAATAGAATTTACTTATGAGACAAATCTAAAGGAGTTCTGTATGTAAGGCAACTAAGACATGAATCATAAGACTCTGGAACATAGAACTGCAGGGTCTTAGAATCCAAAGCCATAGAAACCTTCTAATCAGAGTCTCAAAGTCAAATGGACCCAGATAATAGGATCTTAGGGTCCTGCTTAGCTCACTAATAAGCATTTATTAAATTCTTTCTCTATACCAGATACTGTGCTAAGCACCAGGGATACAAAAAAGGGCAAAAATACAGCCTCTGCCCTCAAGGAGCTCATATTCTAATGAAAGAGACAAATATGAAAGTTAACTAGGCACCCACCAGATGGATACAGGGTAGGTCCAAGGGGAAGGATGAGGAGGTGTGGGAGGGAGCTGAGCAAGGTTTCCTGAAGAAGGCAGGATTTGAGCTGAGTCTTGAAGGAAGCCTGGGAACCTAAGAAGCAGAGGGGAGGAGGAAATACATTCCAGATGAAGGCACTGAGTTGGGAGACTAGAGAGTTATGTTTGAGCCTCAACAAGAAGGCCAGTGTCACTGGATGACAGAGTGAATGGAGGGAAGTAGAATATAAAAAGACTGGAAAAGTAGGAAGGGGCCAGGCTATGAGAGATTTAAATGCTAGGGTATCTTATCTTATGGGGCAGCTAGGTGGTGCAGTGGATAGAGCACTGGATGTGAAATCAGAAGGACCTGAATTCAAATCTGGCCTAAGACATTTACTAGCTGTGTGATCCTGGGCAAGTCCCTTAATCCTATTTGCCTCAGTTTCCTCATCAGTTAAAAAATGACCTGGAGAAGTAAATGACAAACCACTCCAGTATTTTTGCCAAGAAAATTCAAAATCGGGTCATGAAGAGTCAGATAGGGCAGAAGTGACATAACAACGTCTTGTATTATATCCTGAAAGTAAGAGGGAGTCATCAGAGTTTACTGAGTAGGGGGTGACACGGTCAGTCCCATGCTTTAGGAGAATCACTTTGGCAGTGAGTGAAAGACAGACTGGAGCAGGGAGAGACTTGAGGTGGGGAGACCAATTAGAAGGAAAGGTCTTAAATACTCACTACCCATTGCACTTCTATGTAAGATTTGATTATTATTTTAGTTAAAATAAGAATGGCTATTAAATCTTTAAAATGTTGATGTGAAGTTTTGGCTTTGAATCCTCCTGAGAAACTTTTCATATTAGCATCTCCTGGAATTGGGGCTAAGGACAATGGGGCTGCCATTCCTTAATAGACCTGTGCATGATTCGCCTCTACAAGGAGGCTAATGAGTAAGTGGGTTGAAACAATGGTACATTCCAGTATAAAAAGGTTACTGGTTACTAGACTCCCATCACCCCTCAAGAAAGAAGACAGAAAAAGAGTATAAGACTCTCCTTCAATGGGGAGGGTCTTCTGAAAATGTCATGAGTCATGGCTCTGAGGAGATGTTGACATTTGGAAATTGAGAGAAGGTTGGGTATGAGCCAATGCAAGGACTTCAGAGTAGCAAGTTAGGATGTTTTTCAGGAGAGCTACCATTTTTTAACAGGTGAGACAAAGGGAAAAGCTCAAGTGACTCGCATTTGATCTCATAAATCTGGTCCAAAACCACAGAACCCTGATATCACAATTTTGGAACATTTGCAAAGACCAGAGAAGAGTTCGATAGGGCAAAGTCCAGAGCGATGACGCATTTCAGCATGAAGAAAAGAAACCCTCCCAGTTAGTGCTGCATGTGGATGGGTTGTCCAGAGATTAGTAGTCAAGGAAACAATGAAGTCAGAAGAGGTTGGTGCTATCAAACCATCCCCAGTAAGCTCTGGGCTGCTTGATGACAAAGCCACAAGTATCTCTCACTGGACTTGAGACAGGGAAACAGCAGATTAGGTATGACGAGCTACTAGAGATGGCAGAACTATCTAGGGAAAAACTGGATTGCATTGAGAGAGAACTATAGGAGAGAAAAATAACTTCCAAAACATCTTTTTGATGGGAAGAGACTGGACTCTGTAAATTACATGCCAATGAGCTTGATTTCAAATCCCGGTAACATTCTAGGATGTTATTAAAGAGATGGTTAATGAATATCTAAATAATGAAGTAGTGATCTTAAAGAAAAAAATACGGCTTCATCAAGAACAGGTCACTATGATGCTAAGGGAGGAAGTGCCCATTGACTCAGGAATGGCTGAACAAATTCTGCTATAGGAATGTAAGGGAATATTACTGGGCCATTAAAAATGGTGGGAAGGTACAACCTCAGAGAAATGTGGGAATTCTAATATGAATTGATGCAGAGGGAAGTGAGCAGAACCAGGAGAACAATTTATACAATAACAACAATATTGTAAAGACGAACAACTTTAAATGACTTAAGAACTCTATTCAATTCAGTGCTAACCATGATTCCACACGCTATCCACATCTGATGGAAAGATGACAGATTCCGGGTGCAGAATTAGACTTTTCTTTTTGCATACAACTAATGCAGGAATCTGTTTTGCTTAACTGTGCATATTTGTTACAAGGTTGTTTGCTTTTTTTTTTTCCCTCAATGGGAGGGGGAGGATGGAGAGAAAAATTCATTGTTCATTCATTTTCAGTTGTGTCTGACTCTTCATGACCTCATTTGGGGTTTTCTTGGCAAAGCTATTGGAATGATTTGTGTTTTCTTTTCTAGCTCATTTTACAGATGAGGAGCCTGAGGCAAACAGGGTTAAGTGACTTGCCCAGGTTCACACAGCAAGTAAGTGTCTGAGGCTGGATTTGAACTCAGGAGGTTGAGTCTTCCTGACTCCAGGCCCAGCACTCCTCTTCCAAACGGACATATAAGCCATCAGCCTGCCTCCATGATGGTCTTTGGTCTAAGAGAGAGATGGCCAAATAACCACCCTTTTATTAAAATGCTGGCATTATTAATAAAATGATTAAATTATCCAGAAATTATGTCTCTTGAACCTTTTTAATTGCCATGACAACAAGAATTATTTTACCCTAGGATCACAGAATCCTAGAATTACTAACTCTAGAATTACAGAGGTAGTTAGCTGGGGCAGAGGATGGTGTATTGGACCTGGAGTTAGGAAGGTCTGAGTTCAAGTCTTACTGTCCCTTCAGTCACCCAAGCTCACAGCCATTTACTCACTGTGTGATCCTGGGCAAGTCATTTAACCTCCCTCAGCCTTATTTTTCTCATTTGTAAAATAGGGACAGTGCTAGCACCTACCTCCCAGGGTTGTTGTGAGGATCAAATAATATACCATATGATGAGTGCTTTGCAAACATTAAAGCACCATGTAAATGTTAGCTATTATTATTATAGAACTCTACATTAGTCATCTAGATTAATCCCTGTGTATGGTGGCTTCCCCTACATATGTTTGGAGGTGGCCAGCGGAATTGGGATGCATGGCCAGATCTGTGAGGAATCCTTCTGATGGGATCTTCAGATATTTTGCCAGGAAATGGAGTAATTCTACTGTCTCTGTCATTCTACTTGCAGGCTATTGCTCATGCTTCTGACTTCTGGGGAGTACCCTGGCCAGTTCCATCTATCTGCCAGTGAGGTAGCAGAGGCTCCCTGCAAAGACCCTCCACCCAGAGCCCTCCCGTCCTTACCTGGCCACACGGCTGAGTCAGCAGTTCCTTGTAGGGCTCGAAGGGGATTTTCTGATAGAAATTCACCAGTTCCACTAATGTTGAGTGGACACCCTTTTCTCCAGGGATTGCAAAGTAGCCGTCAGCCAAAAGCTTGATCATGAAGTGGCGGCAGCGGTCCCTACCTCTGAAGGGAAGAGAACATGAGTCAGGTACGGTTTCTATGTGTGGAAGGTAACTGGAGTGAGCGGAGCTATCTCAGAGCTCAAGATTGGGGATAGGAATGAAAACTAGCTCTTCCTGAATCCAAATCTGAGAGATGAGAGAGGATTGGTCCTCTTTCCCCGAGAGAATGTGTCAGAGTCATCGTGCCTCAGTTTTGTGGGGGAAGAGGGAAAAGGTAAAGTCAGGAAGGAGAGGCTCAACAGAAAAGTGGGGAAGGAAGGAGAAAGGGTTGGGAAGGCGGATTTCCTAATGAAAAAGGCTGTTTTATTAATTAATCAAAATCAGTGACAGTGCTCTGAATCTCTCTATTTTTTAATAATTCCTACAGAACTGGGCCTGGGCATCATTCTTACGGAGAAAGGCTTTTCTGAAACAATTATCAGCATAAGTTCCAGGGAAAGCAAGACTATCAAGTACTTGCATATAAATAATTCAGGTTTAAAATAGGTGTTCTTGCTATTCACTAAAGCAGATCCCTGGAGAAGGAAATGGCAAACCACTCCAGCATCTCTGCCAAGAAAAACCCAGATGGGAGCCCGGACAGCTGGACACAATTGAAATGATGGAACAAAAATGGCTCCATCAGCCATCCCTCAAAATATCCCTCCTTCACTACCAACCTACTATAGATGTTGTCACCCTACTACTAGCTTACCTACCTCCTGACAGGAGGTGACAGGGTGCAGAATGGGGGGAATATTTTTTGGACACAGGCAATGCAGGAATTTGTTTTGCTTGACTATGCATATTTATTACAAGGGTTTTGGCTTTGTTTTTAAAATGGGAGGGAGAGAGAAAAATAGTTGAAAAAATGAAATTAAGTTAAAGCCCCCACAAAACAAACAAAGAATGTATGCCATTGGAGGGCAGGGACTAATTCTGCATTTCTATTTGTATCTTTGGCATTTAGCACAGAGCTTGGCATGCAGTAATTGTTTAAATTCTCATTCATGCATTGAAAATTTTGTCCAGATCTTTAGTTGAAATTCCTTGTGCGTTAACAGTTCTCTGTAGAAATTTCCCATGCCCTTTAGATGGCTGGGACCTAGAAGAATTTTCATTCAGGACAGTTTGATTTCTCACTTGAAGGGGAGAAGAGAACAAGCATTTACTAAATGCCGACTATGTGCCAGGCACTGTGCTAAGTACCTTAGTAACATGACCTCATTTGATCTTTAAGGTAAGAGGGTGACCTGTAGGCAACCTCAAATTTTCCATTGCTGTTTCCATTCCCTACTGGGAACCCACTTTCCCTCTGAGAGGGAACGCTTGATTTTTCTTTCCTGTTTTCTTTGCTTTTTTGTCTTTGTCTTTAAAAAGACCTTTGCAAGTACTAAGATAAGCAGAAACCTATGAGAGAGAGAGTATGTCTGCTTGTTAAATTGTGGAACCACGTATTTGGAGGTGAGTATAATCCCTGTAGGCACGGACCCTCAGGGAAAAATGCTAATTTCAACTAATCAACATTTTTTTCTTTTTTGTTGTTGCTAATCAATATTTATTAAGCACCCGCTTTGCGTTTGGCACTGAGCTAAGTGCTGGGAATACAAAAAGAGGCGTAATTTCTGCATTGTTGAAAAAGTGGGCTACTTGGACTCTGCTGCGGCTTTCTTCCTTTAAGCGGTCCGGAAGTTTACATAGCGTATTTAAAGACTTAACTTCATAACTAATTCGGACTATGCTCTCTCATATGCAAATATGAGAAGTTAAAAGTAATTTGTTCCTGCCCCACGCTCTCCGCGCACCGCCCCCACCCCCCTTCGTTAGGAGAGTGTGTCAGTCTCAGCCCTTCTTGTATTATGAATTACTAAGGATAGCTAGGTGGCGCCATAGTGCACAGAGCACTGGTTTGGAATCTGCAAGACTCATCTTACTGGGTTCAAATCCAGCCTCAGACACTTACTACCTGTGTGATCCTGGGCAAGTCATTTAACCCTGTTTGCCTCAGTTCCTCATTTGTAAAATGAGCTGGAGAAGGAAATGGCAAATCACTCCGGTATTTTTTGCCAAGAAAACCCAAATGGGATCTCGAAGAGTGGTATGCAACCGAAAATGATGGAAAATATTGCAGGATCAGAGATCACAAATTGAAAGCTGTAAAGGGTCTTATAAGTCATTTAGTCTGACCTCCTCATTTTACAAGCAGGGAAACTGAGGCCTGTAGGGATTAAATGGCTTTGCCAACATCACATAGATTATAAATGAAAGAACTGGGTTTTGAATTCAAGTCTTCAGATTCCAGCTAGATACTGTCAGCTTGTTATATACCACACTGGGTCTGGAAGGGAGGGATCTGCTCCTTCCTGTTCTATCTACTTACCTGTAGGACAGTGTGTAGCCCGCATGACTCTGGCTTACACGTACTAGGAAACATCCCAGAGGTTTCTTCTGGAGCAAACTTTCAGCAGCTCTAGAATGATATATACAAACCTGAAGTGATGCCAGGGCAGATCCCAGGACTCAATCAACCTTTGTCTAATTATTTAGAGAGACCACCTCCCACTCCCTAACCCTGGGAAAGTTTACAAACAATTCTCCACCAAGGACAGCACCCTCCCCATCCCTCTCCTCATCAAAAAATCCTGTAAACTTTAGTTTCCTCCAAACCCCACTTCCAAGGCTCTCTCATCTCTAAATTCCAGGGATAGAAAGGACTTCAGAGATCATCTAATCAAACGCCACCCATTCTGTAATCTCCTTCTCATCATGCAAAAACCCTGCCCACGCAGCCTCTGCTGGAAGAACTCTGGTGACAGAGAGCTGACTACCTCACTGAGTGGTTGGGAAGTTTTAATTGTCAGGAAGCTCTTCGATCAGACATCTGCCACTCTGCGACTTCCCTTATGTGTGCACTCACAGAAACAGTCTAATTCGGAGGCAGTTGATTGGCTTGTTTCCCCTTCTTTAGGCTAAGCACATCTCCATTGCCTTAGGCTGGGTAACGACCTGATAGGGCTGTGGGAGCTGATATTTCTGCTCAGGCCCCTTTGGACCAGCTGCTTCTGGTCCCCTTCCAACTCTGAAGCTCTATGCATATAACATTCTATAGCAGCTGCTAGTTTGATGATCCTAAGACTCAGCAGGCATCTCTTATGATCATATAACTTTTCAGTACACATTTTGGAATATGACAGGACAGGGTTGGACCCCTCCTTGTACATGTGGATGTTCAGGAGGATGCCTACATGATGTAAAGGGGAGGCATTTTGAAAGGTCTGCTGTTCAAAAGTATCTCTTATCATTGGGCTGTTAACAGTACCCGAAATTCCATTATTAATTCTTCTGGTTATGGCATTCCATGCCATTGTTAAAATGTATGCCTGTGGCCTCCAAGAGAGAGACACTTAGCATGGTGCCAATTTATTAGGTTAGATTTAGCAGAGAACAGGGTTCTAAAGTCCTAGGTATTGAGAGGGAAGGGGAAGGTCCGGGGTGTGGAAGTTTGCTCAGGAAAGTGTGTCTGAGTAGAGATGATAAGGGAGAAATGATACTAAACGAGGTTTACAGAGAATTATCTGACAATTGCACCATGTGGTGACATATACTGCCTACTTTAGCTAGCTCTAGAGGATTTATTGTTTGTCCTTCCTTTCAAAAGGGACCAATGATGTCAAAGGTGATGCCTTGACTTTTGAGTGAATTGGATTCAAGTGAGACAAAGTCATCAGCCTCACTCTGTCTTCCAGAGTCATTGAAGTCCAGTGGCAAGACAAAAGTCAGGAGACTGGCAATGGATTGGATTAGTGGATGACCTTGGCATCTTTGATGCCTGACCAAGCTTTAAGCACACCAACAGCACCTGCTTCAGCAGCCTTCATGGCTATTGGAACAAATTGTTCTCATTTGTCCACTCCACCAGGGGAAGTCTTCATCCCCCTACCTCACTGGGGTTTGAGACACCTTGGTCACCCTCAGCCTGGTTCAGCCTATCTTCGGAGATGGTTTACCAGGATGTGGACACTGCACATGCTACAGCTTCTTGGAGCCACAAGTGAGAGTTGGGGGATATGTGGACACCAAAGGTGGCTGAGTAGCCCTGAAAAAGGCTTAGCAAGCCCTCCCACCAGAGGTGTCAGGCCTCTGAATACCCCATACATCCCCCTAGGTGGTTCCCACTGGCTAAAGTTCAGTGGTTCAGTTTATGGACATTTAAATAGCTAAATGTCACAATGGCGAGAGCATTAGACTTGGAGTCAAAAAGACCTGAGTTCAAATCCTGCCTGAGATACTTACCAGCCCTGTGAACCTTTGGCAAGTCAATAAGCTTCTCTGTGTCTCACTTTCCTCATCTGCAAAATGAGGATAATAATAGTGCTTACTTCACAGGGCTGTTGTGAGGATCAAATAATAATAATAATGATAATAATAACAACAACAATAATAGCTAGTGTTTATATGGCGCTTTGAGGCTTATAGAAAATACTTGCTATATGTTAATTCATTTGAGACTTTTAACAGCCTTGTAAGTGCTATTATTATCCCCATTTTATAGATGAGGAAACTGAGACACAGAGAGGTTAAGTGACTTTCCTCAGACCACTCTGCTAGTAAGTATATGAGGCAGGCTTTGAATGCTGGGTTTCCTGATTCCAAGTCCAGCGTTCATTTTTATATGTAAGCACTTTGAGTTTGTTTATTTATTTATTTTTTTGGCTAGGCAATGGGGTTAAGTGACTTGCCCAGAGTGACACAGCTAGTAAGTGTCAAGTGTCTGAAGCTAGATTTGAACTCAGGTCCTCCTGACTCCAGGCCTGGTGCTCTATCCACTGTGTCACCTAGTTGCCCTGTTTTTGTTTTTTAATTTATTTACTTTTTCAGTTTTCAACATTCACTTCCACAAGATTTTGAGTTCCAAATTTTCCCCCCATCTCATCCCTCCCCTCACCCCGAGATGGCATGCATTCTGTATGCCCCTTCCACTAATCTGCCCTCCCTTCTATCTCTCCCCACCCCTTCTCTTATCCCTTTCCCTTCTATTTTCCTATAGGGTAGGATAGATTTCTGTACCCCATTTCCTGTATTTCTTATTTCCCAGTTGCATGTGAAAACAATTTTTTTAACTTTTGTTTTTAAAACTTTGGGTTCCAAATTTTCTCCCTTTCTCCCTCCCCAGCCACCCTCATTGAAGAGACAAGTAACTCGATACAGGTTACACATGTGTAGTCACGCAAAACACTTCCACAGTAGTCATGTTGTGAAAAACTAAGTATACTTCCCTTCATCCTATTCTTCCCCCCATTTGTTCTATTCTCTCTTTTGACCCTGTCCCACCTTAAAAGTGTTTGCTTTTGATTACCCCCTTCTCCAATCTGCTCTCCCCTCTATCATCTCCCTGCTCTCTTGTCCCTTTCCCCCCCTATTTTCCTGAAGGGTAAGAAGTTTCCATACACAATTGAATGTGTATGTTATTCCCTCCTTAAGCCAAATCCGATAAGAATAAGATTCACTCATTCCCTCTCATCTTCCCCCATTTCCCCTCTACTGTAAAAGCCTTTTCTTGTCTGTTTCATGTGAGATAATTTACCCCATTTTACCTCTCCCTTTCTCCTTCTCCCAATATAATTCTCTCTCACCCCTTAATTGTATTCTCCAGATATCACCCCTTCATCTTCAACTCACCTTGTGCTATCTATCTATCTATCTATCTATCTATCTATCTATCTATCTATCTATCTATCTATCCATACGTATAATTTTTTCCCTCCAACTAACCTAATACTGACAAAGGACTCATCAGTTATAAATATCATCTTTCCATGCAGGAATGTAAACATTTCATCCTTAATAAGTCTGTTATGATTTCTCTTTCCTGTTTATCTCTTCTTGTTTCAATTGAGTCTTGTATTTGAAAGTCAAATTTTCTATTCAGCTCTGGTCTTTTCGTCAGGAATGCTTGAAAGTCCCCTATTTCACTGAATGACCATTTTTCCCCCTGAGGGATTATGCTCAGTTTTGCTGGGTAGGTGTGTTCTTGTTTTTTATGTAAGCCCTTTGGAAACCTTAAAGTGCTATAGAAATAATAGTTATTATCATTGTTAATAATAATTATTCCTGGGGCTCTGTTCTATGCATGGAAAGGGAGAAGTTCAAGCTGGCAGAGACCTGGAACTAGGAATAACATAGCCAACAGGTGGCCATCTGCTTCTCTTGCCTTCCTTCACATGTGTGAGTATCATTCATCCATTGCTGGGGCTGAGAGATGTATTGCTTTGTCATGAGGTCTTCTCTCTAACATCTCGGTTATGAGTACCCAGAATTCCCAGCTGCCTGCCTCTCTGACTCTGGGGAAGATGGAGAGGATCCTTTGTTTGCCCCACTCAGCTGACACAAGGGGGGTATACTCACTCTCTGGAAATGTCTCCGTGGTACCATGTGGGGATCCCATCTCGCATCAGCCAGCTGGTCTCAATCTCTCCACACCAGTCCAAAGGAGAGTAAAGGGATGTTGCCTGCATTTTGTCTTCTGTGTTCTCCCTCTATGTGCCACCTATATAAGGAGAATGAAAGTTAAAGTTGATCAACTCAGCTACAGGCTCCTTTCCTGCCTCAGGTTATGTTCCCTTCTGGGCATTAGTCTTTTTGAGCCACTGGAGAATATATAGATACTGACTTCAGGCATCTGGGAATATGAAATTAATTTTTGTTCATGCATTAAGTCAACAGACATTTTATGAAGGGCCCAGTGTATTCATGACTCTGTTGGAGAAACAAAGCTAAATAAATCATGATCCCTGTAGTCATGGAGCTCACGTTCTGTTAAGGTACACGGTGTTAAGGGTTTGCCTGTTGGACAAAGCAGAAGAAACAAGCAAATACTAAAGAGCCAGGCCTTTGGCCCAGAACTGAAGTCACTGGGTTCCCCAGATCAGCTTTTCACAAAACACTCTTTGGCTTGGGTTCTCAACGAGGACAGTGCCTGGCACAAAGTGAGTGCTTAATAAATGCTTATTGATGGACCAGCTTTGGGGACATCAGAAGTTAGCTTGTGTCCAGGTCTCTACAAAAATGGTAAAAGAGTCTTCAACTCCCATGACAGCACTCAGGTTAACAAAACATTGCATAGAGGACAGACTTAATTTAATTCAACAGAAACACATATCAGAAAGAACTTATGTGTGTGTCTATAAACCATCAAAAAAACCTCTTTTCTTCTCTAGTGGGCCTTGCCTTTCCCCAGGGAAGTATGCAGTCCTCCAGACTTATAGGACTAACCTAGGACTGAGGGCCCACTATGAAGGGAAGATAATAAATATTGCTAAATAGTCAAATGTGATCTGTTCAGTCTTGGGCTTGCCAAAGAGTTGGACCCTTTCTCTCAAATATGCACTCACTGAGCAAGTGGAGGGTAAGGCCAAGGTTTCTCTTTTGTCTCCTTGTGGCAACTTGGCTCTGCTTCCTTTTTGGTCCCAAACTCTTCTATTTAGTCCAAGAGCTTACCATTGTCCATGAACTAGTTCTCTCCAGGACAATGGGTGCAGGAATTGGGGGCTGCCCAGAGACTCTTGCTCTTCCCTTCAGGTGGCTTGGTCCAAGCACTTAGTGTTGCCCAGAAACTCCTTCTCAGTGTACAGGTGGCTTGGTCCTGGAATTCCTCTACTTGTCCAGTAACTCTGCCAGCTTCCAGTACTTCACCACTGACAATTCACTCTGGCCAACTCACATGCCTATGGCTTCGGGCTTAGCCCAGGAGTTCTCTATTTCACAGTCGCTATGAGCCACTGTCTTCACTGGGGACACGTAGATCTGTCATTTCCTGGGAGCATGTGTTTCCCTGGAGGAGCCCAAGGAACCATGGCCAAGTCTTTCTGTGAAGTCTCTTCCTTATCAACATTGCTCTGGTTCTGTCCTTTTCTCTTGTTTCCTACCTTTCTCTTTTAAAATCGTCATCACCATCACCCCCCCACCCCATCATCATCATCATCATCATCATCATCATCATCATCATCACCACCATGATCATCATCTAGACTTGACAAACATCAACAAAGACAAATGTTTCCTTACATACAGAACAGAAAAAGGATTCTACATGACACGGCAAATCTCTATTACACATAGTTCTTTTTTTTTTGTGAGGCAATTGGGGTTAAGTGACTTGGCCAGAGTCACACAGCTAGTAAGTGTTATGTGTCTGAGGCTGGATTTGAACTCAGGTCCTCCTGACTGTAGGGCCAGTGCTCTATCCATTGTGCCACCTAGCTGCCCCTGCATAGCTCATTTTTTAAAGCCTATTTTTAAAAATAAAGTTTCTCTCTCTCTCTCTCTCTCTCTCTCTCTCTCTCCTCTCACAAAAAAAAAATTAAATGGAAGTCCTTGATTATAACAAAGCAATCAATTAAAGCACCTACTATGTGCTAGGCACTGGGAGAAAGTACAGAGAATGAAATGATCCCTATTCATAAGGACCTTACGTTCTAATAGAGGAAATGATAAGCATTTATGAAAACACAGAAAGCATAAAGTAAATACATACCAATGTCTGCCAAGTACATAAGTGTAAACTGAAGGTCTGTAGTGGATAAAAGATAAAAGATAAAAGATAAAAAATTGAAAGACTTCAAATACCAAGCATTCCCCACCCTAAAATGGGTGGGAGGCTTGAATATCTTAATTCCTCAGCCATGCTCTCATTTCATTTCCTGCTCAGCTCATTCTTTTTAAAAACTTTTTTCCCTAATATATTTTTATTTATTTCATTAAATATTTCCCAATTACATGTAAAATTTTTTTTAGCATTCATTAATTTTTCAGTTCAACAAGTATTTATTCTAAAAAATTTTAAACATTTTTATTTAAAGTTTTGAGTTCCAAATTCTATTTTTCCCTTCCTCCCCCTGAAACAGTAAGCAATCAGATGTAGGTTACACATGTGTATTATGTAAAACCTTTCCATCTTAGTCATTTTGTACAAGACAACTCAAAAGAAAAAAAAGAAAGAAAGAAAGTGAAAAATAGCATGCTTCAGTCTGTATTCACCCAATATCAGTTCTTTCTCAGGAGGCAGATAGTATGCTTCATCGGTAGTCCTTTGGGATTGTCTCGAATCATTACATTGTTTAGCATTTGTTTAAGACATTTTTTTTTGAGTTCCAAATCCTCTCTTCCTTCCTGCCCTTCCCCCCCTTGAGAAGGCAAGCAAGTTGACATCAATTTTACGTGTGAAGTCATGCAAAACATTTCCATATTAGCCATGTTGCAAAGGAAAAAACACAGAAAAAGGAAAACCAAGAAAAGTAAAGAAAGTAAAAAAAATATACTTCAATCTGCATTGAGAGTTCATCAGTTCTCTCTCCGGAGGTGGAGAGCATTTTTTATCATGGGTCCTTTGGAATTGTCTTGGATTATTGTCTTCATCAGAGTAGCCAAATCTTAAACAGATGATCATTATTACAATATTGCTCCTACTGGTCTTCTGGTTCTGCCCACTTCACTCTGCATCAATTCACATACATCTTCCCAGTTTTTTCTGCAACCATCCCACTTGTCATTTTTTATAGCACAATAGTATTCCATCGCAATCATATATCACAACTTCTTCATCAATTCCACAGTTGATGGGCATTCCCTCAATTTCCAATTCTTTACCATCACAAAAGAGCTGCTATAAATATTTTTGTACAAATAAGTCTTTCCCCCTTTTCTTTGATCTCTTTGAGAAACAGACCTAGCTGTGGTATTGCTGGGTCAAAGGGTATGTTATAGCCCTTTGGGCATAGTTCTAAATTGCTCTCCAGAATGGTCGGATCAGTTCACAACTCCACCAACAGTGCATTACTGTCCCTGTTTTTCCACATCCCCTCCAACATTTGTCATTTTCCATTTTTTGGTCATATCAGGCAATCTGATAGGTGAGAGGTGGTACCTCAGTTTAATTTACATTTCTCTAATTAGCAGTGATTTAGAGCATTTTTTCCATGTGACTATTGATTCAGCTTACTCTTTGTACTGTATGGATGATGGACTACAGAATAATGGAAGATATGAAGTCCAAAAGGAGTATAGCTGGTGGGTTATGGGGGCAATAAGAAGTCACTAGAATTGCTTAAGTAGGGGAGTCACATGGTCATATCAACACTGAAGGAAAATTATTTTGGCAGCTGTGTATAACATGGACTATAATGAAGAATAGAGTCAAGTACAGTCAAATGATTCATCTTAAGCAAAACAGATCCATACAGTGGTCATGTCTAAAAATATGCTTCTTTTTGTACTTCTGGTCCATCACCCATCTCCCAACAGGCAGGAAGCATGCTTCCTCTTTAGCCTTCAGAAGTTCTGTTTGGTTACTGTATGTATCAGAGATCTCAAGGCAAGTTCTCAATGTAAGTAGAACCAAGGTATCATAAGAGGGAAGTGGCATGTGCCAAGTAAGCCACTGCTTCCATCTCCCCTTACACATACATGGAGATGGATCAGGACCCTAAGTCCAGGGATAGTGGTACCTTTCAAACCATTTGATCTGCTTCAACCTGGCCCCCCACAGCCAATAATGAGAGAAGCAAACCCTGTGGAGAATGGACTTACTATCTTCAATACAACCTGTACCATCCAGTGACCAACTGACCAACAGCTATTGATGGTCAGGAAAAGCCCAAAGGCCTGAGAAATAATAGTACCCCAAGACCACCAGCCCTATTTCCAGATTGCCGCCTCCAGGGAAGCACCCCCTTTGGAGAAGAGGAAAACCACTCCTATCATAATTGCTGAACAACTGCAACCCACAGGGCAAGCTTAGATTCAGTTTAGTCAAAGCAGCAAGGCTGTGGGAGAGACAGGAAGGAAGCAGCATGTGCCAGGCAGGTCAGGTCATCACCTCCCTTCACACCCTGATGGAAACAGCATAGAATACTGAGTCTAGCCCCTGGCAGCCATCATGAGGAAGCAGCTGTTCGAACCTCCTCATCTATTGCTACTGAAGACCTAGAAAGAAAGTTCTTAAACACAAAGTCTTTGACACCATCAAATAGTTGAGTATCAGAAATGGATATGGTTTTATCTGCAGAAGTAACATTAAAGAAGATGTATTCCCATCTTCTTTGCTGCTTCTGTACACTAAGGACTAGGAGGTCTTTCCTTCTGATTTGCAGCTGAAACCTATGTGTGTTGCCTCTTCTTATTAGACTGCAAGCTACTTGAGAGCAGGAACCATCTTGCTTCTCTATTTGTATCCTCAGTGCTTTGCATATAGTAAAGAGCTTAATAAATACTCGTTCATTCATTCATTCAAGTCTTTCACAGGTTTCCTTTACATTATTACAGTCATCATTTAATTGATCTCCTGGTTCTGCTCACTTCACTTAGCATCAGTTCATAGATGTCCTAGATATCTATCTCTGAATCTCTATTCTCTTTGTCATCTCTTATGGCACAATAATATTCCATTATATTCATATACTACAATTTGTTCAGCCATTCCATAATTGATGGACACCTCTTCAGTTTATAAGTCTTTGCCATAACAAAAAGTGTTGATAGTAATATTTTTGTACATATGGATCTTTCTTTGATTTCCCTAGGGGTATAGATCGAGTATTGGTATCACTGATTCAAAGGATATGCACAGTTTAGTGACTTTGGGAATATAGTTCCAGATTGCTTTCCAGAATGGGTGGATCAATTCATAATTCCACCATCACTGCATCAATGTGCCCCTTTCTCCAAAGCCCCTCCAACCATTGTTATTTTCCTTTTTGTCCTCTTTGCTAGGTGTGAAGTTGAACTTCAGTGTTGTTTTGGTTAGTATTTTCAGATCTCCCTTTTAAAAGACAAATCTAAGAGCATAGCTCATGTCTATAACTAGTCATGATTCAATCAGTCATCCTCAAATGTGGTGTTAATGGATTTGTTTATACCCTATATCAAAGGAGACAGCATTAATATCAGGATGAAGGTTTCACCTTTTAACCCTGTAAAACTGATTAACAAGGGTATAATCTTGATTGGGTTTTGCTGGTCTTTACCCTCTACACAAATTAGAAGATGAAAAGTCTGTAAGAGGAATACACATAAGATCAGAGGAAGAGGGAGATCCCTTTTAGATGGAGGAATCAAAGAAGGCTTCATGGAGTATGTGGCATTTGAGCTATTCCTTGAGGACACAAAGGATGCTAACAGGTACAGATGGGGAAGAAGAGCATTTCAGGCAGAGGGATATTGGAACTGAGGCACTGAGGCAGGTAGTACATTAGTCTTGTCTTTCCAATTCAAAAGAAAACTCTTTGAGGTCAACAGAGTCTTTTCAAACCCCATCAGTTTCTCCCATCCCTCCTCAACTAGGCAAACAATAGGTGTTTCACCTATTGAGTAAGGACTCATTCACTTGGCTTTGTTGAGGTTTAAGCGTTCTGGGAACCCTGAAATCCTAGGGTACTAGTGATAAATGGTTTCAATATTTTCGAAGATATAATTATAGTATATAGTGTTATAATATTTATAGTAGGAGGTGAAAGTATTTGCTGGGGTGAGATGAGGTGGCACTGGGGACTTCAGATTTGGAACAGCCACTGAGAGGTGTGAGATATAGAAAAATTAAGGAAGAAGAGGAGAGTTGTGGTATAGCTTTTGCTTAGAGAACACAAGTTTGTAATGAATTCAGATGACATGGTTTTATGATTTCCTCCATTCCTGGCATTCAACAGCATAGGAGTAGGAATAGAGAAGGTAGATGGTGAGGGTGATCCAGAATTGAGGATTGGCAAGGGGTGAATGATGGAAGCACAAGGCCAAGGGAGACAGGAGTAAAGAGCAATGAATTGGTTATCCTTAAGGACAAGACTGTAAAGAGAAAGAGAGAATCCAAAGTAGAGGTGATGGGTTGGGAGACCAAGGAGGATGGAGGAAATGGAAGTTATGGTGAAGAGAAAGATTTAGGAGGAGTGAAGCAAAGGGAGAAATAGAAGGTTTGAAAATGATGATCAGAGGGGAATTTCAAGAGTTCCGCTTTAGGTAAAAGGTACAGTTACGGGTGATGGTGAGTCTTAAGCTCTTATTATCCCAGGGGTAACTGAAGTACAGCTTTCTCAATCTCTCTGCTCTGCCCTCCACATCCCCATGCTAGGGCCTTCCTTCTGAGATTACCTCCAATCTAGCTTGGATGTATCTGTGTACTTACGTAATGGTTTTTGTGTTGTGTCCTCCATTAGAAGGTGAGCTCCTTGAGGGCAGGGACTAGGTTTTTGGCTTTTTTTTTTTAATATCCCCAGCACTTAGCACAGTGCCTGACACAGAGGAGGCACTTAATAAATGCTGGTTAACTTGACTTGACTTGAAGGAAGATTTAAGTTATAGAAGCTGAGGAAGTTAATGAACTGGGAGTTCACAGTGTTCAAAAGGACATCAATGTGTATATTCAGGCTTTCAATAATAATAACTCACATTTATCTAGCAGTTTAAGGTTTGTAGAGAGCTTTCTTCCCTATAACTTTATGAGCTAGGTCATACAAGTCTTCCCATTTTATAGATGAGAAAACCAAGACTCTGAGGGGTAAAGTCACACAGCTAGTATGTGAGGCAGGATTCAAGCCAAGGCTCCACCCTTCACCCTATACCACACTCAATATGTTAAGGCAAGACAGAAGGCAAGGATTAAGGTAGAGGGGGAAACTCTAAGCCAGCTACTGAACTCTCAAAGGAAAGAAGGACCCGAAGGCCAGTAGATTACAAAGAAAAGATCTGGACTGGATGATAGAGATGCCAATCCTCATTCCTGAGTGGACTTCAAAGGAAGAGCATTTGCTAAGTGGTGATGGCAGTGGGAAGACCTGGGAGGGGGCAGTGGGAGTGAGGAGGATGCTGACACTTCCTCTAAGACTAGTGTGTTGGGAGGTATGAGAGAAGTCATCAGCACTGAAGATAGTGCCCAGGGATGCAGAGTTTCCCATAAGCACAAAACAATGGAAAGAATGGGGGCAGCTGGGTGGCACAGTAGATAGAGCTCCAGCCCTGGAGTCAGGAGGACCTGAGTTCAAATCCGACCTCAGACACATAACACTTTCTAGCTGTGTGACCCTGGGCAAGTCACTTAACCCCCATTGCCTCACCAGAAAAACAAAACAAAAAAATGGAAAGAATAAAGGGGAGAGAAAGAGGTCTAGAAAGCCGAGTGGAAGGAGAGAGCAAATAAAAAAAAGGGGCTGGGGAGGGTGAGTATGAGATTATAGGGAGAGGAAGCAGGGTAGGGGTGCTCCTTTCCCCTCCCACACCTGTTGACTCTGAATCACAGGATTCAGGAATCAGAAGGTGCAAATTAGGTAACCACAGTGGATTCTGGGGAAGAATCAGCTGATCAGTGCCTTTCACCTTCTGACCCTGAGATGAGGGAGGGACAGGAGGACTTGTGGGAGTGATTGCTCTCCAAACGCCAGCTAGTGGGTGTTTGCTGATCCCATCATCCCTAGCCTATGCCTGGGAAGTCAGACTGTTAGGTGGTGCAGCGAATAGAGCACTGGACTGGAGTCAGGAAGTACTGAGTTCAAACCTGGCCTCAGGCACTTTTACTAGTTGTGAGATCCTGAATAAGACAATTAATCTCTCTGTGCCTCAGTTTCTTCATCTGTAAAAATGGTGATAATAATCTGTCTCACAGGGTTGTTGTGAGGATCAAATGAAAAAATATTTGTAAAGTGCTTTGCAAACCTTAAAGTGTTATATAAATGCTACTATTGTTGTTTATGAGATGGTAGATTTAGAGCTAGAAGGGAACTTAGAAGTCATCTAGTTCAAGTTCACCCCCCCATCTGCACCGTTTTACAGAGGGGAAAATGACCCATAGAGGTGAGAAGACTTGCCAAGGGTCCCATGAGTGGTAATTAGGAGAGCTAGGATTTGTACCCAGGTCTTTTGACTCAATCTAGTCTAGTAGTGGGATTGGCACTGCTCTGCTCATTTCTCTCTCCCCACCCCCATATAATATTTCACATTTATCATTATTAAATTTTTTCTGAGTTAAATTTAACCCAACCTTCTTGCCTGCTGAGATCTCTTGGAATATCGATTCTGTGGTCTAACATGATAGCTATCCTTCCAAGCTTTATGTAATTTGCAAATCTGATAAGCGTGACTCTATGCCTTCATCCAAGTCATTGATAAAAATGTTTTGTAGAAGAAGGCTAAGGATAGATATAATAATGATACCTAAAGGAAAGATGAGGGAAAGGGAATAAGAATGTATTAAAAACCTGCTATGTACCAGGTACTGTGCTTAGCATTTTACAAATACTATCTGATTGGATCTTAGCTAGCATTTATATAGCGTTTTAATATTTGCCAAATGCTTTACATATATTATCTCATTTGTTCCTCAGTAGGTGCAGTTATCCCCATTTTGCAGATAAGAAAACTGAAGCTGAGAGAGGTAGAGTGACTTGGCCAGGGTTGAATAGCTAGTAAGTGCCTGAGGCAGGATTTGAACTTAAGGGTTCTAGAGTCCAAGTCCAATATTCTATATACTGTGCCACTTTGAACCAAGAAACATGCCACTAGAAACTCCGACTTAGACTAATCATAATATTATAGGTTTAAAACTGGAAGAGGTTATCTAGCCAATCCCCCCATCAATCCACTGGCCTACATTCTTTGGATCTGATTATTTAACCAGTTCTGAATTCACTTAAATTTACTACGAGCCAGCTTAAATCTTTCTGTCTTCCAGTCCTGTCCAATCCAATCTAATCCAATTCAATCCAATAAGCATTTATTAAATGCCTACCACATGCAGAAAACTGGACTGTATAGATACTCAGATTGTATAAAGACAAAATGAAAAGCCATCGTTGTTCTCTTACATTCTAATAGGGGGTGGAGAGTTAGGGAAATATTCTTGTCTATAAGGGTATCATGAGACACTTGGTGATATTCCTTCCTGAAGTGCAGGAGTTTCATTTCTATAGCATTCCACTGGTCTGCTTGTCTCATAATGCTGTCAAAACAAAATTTAGTTGGACATGATTTGCTCTCATTGAACCCATGCTGAGTTTTTTGTGATCCTCATTTCCCTTTCTAAATGTTCGCAAACCATCCTTTTAATTACGCATTCTAAAATTTTGTCAAGAATGGAAGTCAAGCTTACCTTCCTATTGTCTGAATAAATACACCTTGTTCTTTTGGGATTTTCACTTCTTCAAATGGGTGATCAACTTCCTAGAAGCCTGGTCTGATAGTCCAGATGTTTGCCAATAGCATTAAAGACTTAGGATGGTATAAGCCCTCCCAAGCCCAAGCTGAGATTACCTCAAGAAGGCCTACAGGACCACACGTGAAGTTTAATCTCTGGCCACCTAAACACTGTATTTCAGTTTCTGTCCAGCTATGGTGAGTTTCAGTTCAATGTTTGTACGTCATGGATAGGCAGGGCCTAGAACAGGTGTGTTTCCTCCCCTGAATCACAAGATGATTGCCTGGAGAGCAGGTTTTCTGAGGTTCAGGAAGTGAATGAAGACAAAAGAGACTGCTAAATTCAATTCAGAGTAAGTGGAACAGCTAACATGGAAGTAACATATGGCTGTAGATGCAGGATCACAAAACAGAAAAAAGGAACCTTAGAGCATACAATGCGTGAGCTGGAGGGGGTCTTACAACACAGAATTACAGAGTTGGAAAGCACCTCAGATCACAGGATGCCAGAACTGGGAGGGACCTTAGAACACGTGATGGCAGAACTGGGAGAGATGTTAGAGTCCAGCCTCTCATTTTACAGATGGAGAAACTGAGGTCAAGAATGATATAACTGCTCCAGCATGCGAGCTCTTTAAAGGTAGGGGCTGTTTGGTTTTCGTCTTTGTGTCCTGCAATGTCCAGTCATCACCATAACAGGGCACCTAATAAATGCTTGTTGATTGCTCAAAACATCAGAGGACTTCAGAGACGGAAGAATCCACAAAGATCACCTGGTTCTGCCAAAATTCATCCAGAATGTTACTGGGAGGGCTGGTCTGACTAGTCTAGTAATCTTTCGTTTCATCACATAGCCTCTGTTGCATTGCAAGCATGGTTGCTCCGATTGCATGGAATAAGCTAGCTCTGAAAACTCTAGTTGCATACTAAGACTGCCTGATAGGCAGACCCCCCTTTTAAGGAAACTTATTGTATAGATGGATCTACAAAAGAAATCCTAGAAACAGGGGCAACTAGGTGGTGCAGTGGATAAAGCATTGGCCCTGGGGTCAGGAGGACCTGAGTTCAAATCTGGTCTCAGACGTTTGATACTGGCCATGTGACCCTGGGCAATTCACTTAACCCCAGTGCCCAGCCAATAAAAATAAATACTAAGAACAGCTTATGGATGGATGATGTGATTTTTCACTTTACAAGGGACTTTTGCAAGGGGCTTCATCAGCGGGTTCCCAAAAGTGCTTTTAAATTATGAATAGATTGCAAAAGTTTTCTTTGTACAAAACCTTTTCAAAAAACCCATCTGTTGCACACAAGGCAATATAGTCCTATTTGTGTGTTGTTTGCAGGACCAAGATGGTTTCCTTCCTCACCCCCCAGTTCTTTGGTTTTGCCGTCAGAAAGTAATTGCTATGAAACTATCCTTATCTCCCCTTCCCATTCCCCAAACACACCTACTGTGAAACCTGCAGAAGACTCTGAACCTTCCAGACTCCCCTCTCGCCCCCCCTCAGCTGACCCAACACCACCCAACTGTGGTGCCCGTATCTGCAGTGTACGTAGAAACCCCGGGGAAATTGGCTGTGCTGTGGCAGGAAGGACACTTGATTAAGAATGAAGGTACCTGGGGTAGGCCACTAGTAGCTCTGCCTGTGTGACCTCGGGTAGGTCATTTAACTTCTCTGGGTCTCAGTTTCCTTATCTGTGTATGGAGAGGGCCAGACTAGATGCTGCCCAAGGGCCCTTCTGCCTTCTCTCTGGGTCTTAATTATTGTAGCCCCTAGAACCTCCAGAGTCTATTGTTACATAAATAACAGTAACTTCCATTTCTTAAGCATTTTAAGGTTTTCAGAGCGCTTCCCCCACAATAATCCCATGGCACATGTAGTGCAATTATTGTTATTCCCATTTTACAGATGAGAAAACTGAGACTTAGAGGGTGAAGTGACTTGCTCATGGGCAAACATTACAGAAGTATCAAGGTTAGGACTCCAACCCAGGTCTGGGGCTTACAGAAGCAGAGTTGGAAGGGTCCTATGAAAAAACATGTCCATGAATCCCTCCAACATCCCTGACAAGTGGCTATCAAGACTTTCCTTCAAGACCTCCAGTGTGGGGAAAGCCCCTATCTCCTAAGGCAAGTCATCCCTTCTACTTTTGGATGGTTTTAACTGTTAGGATTTGCCCCTCTGCAGTGTCCGCCCTTCCTCCATCATAAAAAACAAGGGGAGAGATACCTCTGATACAACTCTTAGAACTCGGTCTATGAACTTGTAGCACAAGTGAGAATTGTGACTCACACATTCTCCTCATGGGCTGATCTTCTGGTCCTAGGATCCAAACTGTGGAAAACTCCTTGTGACAGAGGACAAGTTTCTTGGTTCTTGCTTTTGGACTTGGTTGGGTAGATATCTTTCCTTTCCTGATGCTCACTGCCAGGTGGGAGGGACTAGGTCTCCCAGATGACGGTTTGGTGCTGTGGGCATTTTGGAGTCCAGATAAGGACACTTGACAGCCCTCCCCTATCGCCTTCCTGTCAGTCTGTGTGTTCTGGGCAGGAATTGTGGTGATTGGTATGTGTGTGCATAGAGGAGGAAATTGGGCCCTTTTTTTCTCTCTTTAAGACTGATGGTCCAGGAAATTGCTGTGACCACACTTTTTGCCCATAGCTGCTGGAAAAAGTGGTTTGGGCCATGAGCCAGAACTCAAGGTTGCAGGCTGGGGATAAAATCTTCTATGGACACCATCTCCCTGAGGTGCCAGGGCCACTGACCTGCCTGCAGCTTGTGTGGCCTAACATGGTGAAACAGGCACTGGATTTAGAGCCACAAAAATCTGGGTTCAGAATCCTGGGTATAGTCTCTAACTTTGCCACTGATAGGCTGTATAACTTTAGACAAGTAACTTTAACCTCTCTGAGTTTCAATTTTCTCATTTGTAGCAATAATGTTGTTCAGTCATCTCCAACTCTCTGTGACCCCATGTCGGGGTTTTCTTGGCAAAGATACTGGAGTGGTTTGCCATTTCCTTCTCCAACTCATTTTACAAATGAGGAAACAGAGGCAAACACAGTTAATTAACTTGCCCAGGGTCACACAGCTAGTAAGTGTCTGAAGCTAGATTTGAACTCAGAGAGTCTTCCTGACTTCAAGCACTCTATCCACTGTGCCACATAGCTGCCCATAACAATAATAGCAGGCATTTATATATTGTTTTAATGTTTGCAAAGCACTTTCCATATGTTATCTCATTTGATTACAATAACTCTGTGAAGTAAGGGGCTATTGTTGTCCTCATTTTACAGATGAGAAAACCAAGGCTGAGAGAGATTCAATGACCTGCCCAGAGTCACACAGCTAGTAAGTGTCTGAGACAGGATTTGAGCTCGTCTTCCTTAGTCAAGGTCTAGTGCCCTGTCACCTAATTGCCTGCTTTGCCAACTAAATTTAGGACAATGATCTTTGCCCTATCTCACAGGGTGAGAACAGTGATTTGTAAACTACAGAACATTAGAGAAATGTAAGCTGTTATTATTTTATTTCTAGCATGGTATCATGGGTAGGATACTATAGTAAGGGAAATCTGTGTTTAAATACTTTCTCTGATATTTGCTAACTGTATAGGCACAAGTAAATTACTTAACTTCTATTTAGTTTCCTCATGGAATAGTTGTGAGGTTCAAGTAAAAGAATATGTAAAGTATTTTGCAAAATTTAAAGTGCTATATGAATTTCACTTATTAATATTATTATTACAATAGGTAGTAATGCATGCACGAATAAAAAGCATTTATTAAGTACTTACTGTATGCCAGTCATCGTCTTAAGTAATGAAGATACAAATACAAAAGAGAGAAAGTCCTTGACTTCACGGAGCTTATATTCTAATAGGGGAGTGGTGGCCAATGTGGAATGTTTTGGTCTAGGAAGTCCCAAAGGTGGTGAATGGAATCATAGGACAATGTATTTACATGTCCTTCCCAGAAGCCATGGTAGTGTTGATTTGAGAACTGTTCTCAAAGATAGAGGTGGAAAGAGAAGACCAAAGTGTATTCAAAAGGTGGTATATCAGGAAGATAGCGGGGAAGGATGATTGAGTGGCTGGCGTTGGCTAGATATGGTTTGGGGTGATAGTTCAAATCCAGCCTCAAATGCTTACTGGCTGTGTGACCTTGGGTGACTCATTTAATCTTCATCTGCCTCAGTTTCTTCATCTATAAAATAGGGATAATAATAACTACCTCACAAAGTTGTTTCAGGATAAAATGAAATAGTATTTGTAAAGCACTTTGTAAACTCTAAAGTACTATATAAATGATAGCTATTAGTCTTTAATGATAACAATTACAACAACAACAACAACAACAATAATAATAATTATAACTGTCTTAAAGAATTGCCTAGGGTACTAGAGTCAGTTCTCCCAAATGTGTAATATTTCACCAGTTAACCACATGCAGTGGATAGAGTGCTAGACCTAGAGTCAGAAAGACTCATCTTGCTGAGTTCAAATCTGGTCTCAGACACCTAATAGATGTGTAACTCTGGGTGATTCACTTAACCCTGTTTGCCTCAGTTTCCTTATCTGTAAAGATGAGCTAGAGAAGAAAATGGCAAACCACTCCAGTATCTTTGCCAAGAAAACCCCCAGTGGGGTCACAGAGAGTTGGAGATGACTGAAAAATGACTGAACAACAAACACAGTTTGTTCCTTAGAGATAAGAATCTCCCCTCAATTTTCAATGTAGTGGGGCATGCTCTGGTCCATGGCACTACATATGCTCCTGAGGGTTCCAAGGGAACAACACTGAAGGATTGGGGTGTCTCTTTTCTGTTCCACTGGCTCAAACTCCGCAGGCATGTTTCCTCCACTGTTAGAGGAGGGTCACTAGTACCCCAGGTCCATTTAACCACTTAATATTGATAAGCTTTTACAAGGAGCTATTTACTTTGAAGATATAACAAGAACAAAGTACAAACAAATTTTCTCAATACCTTATGGTCATGTTCTCCCCTATATCACCTCTGTCTCTGGGGTGGTGTAGGCTCATAACTTAGCACTGGTGCCCCCAAGTTCATTTCCAAAGGCAGCATCTCTGCCTGAAGAGTCCTGTCTCATCTACTGCTGCCCTGGGATCCTGAAGGCTATCCCTTGCTTCTCAGGGCATTGATGTTGTACCTGGCTTCATATTTCATTGAAAAAATTAAGGCCATAACACCCTTTTATCACCTTCTCAGATCACATCACTTAGCTGCCTTCCTTCACCATCTCCTTCACATCTGTCTCACATGAAGAGATGGCTCTTCTTGCCAAGCACACTCTTTAAATGCCCAGGGGATCCCATTCCATTCCATCTTCTGCAGATCGACCCTTTTTCACCAATTTTTTTTTTTTTTGCTTTTAGGCAATTGGGGTTAAGTGACTTGCCCAGGGTCACACAGCTAGTAAGTGTCAAGTGTTTGGTTTGAGGCCGGATTTGAACTCAGGTCCTCCTGACTTCAGGGCTGGTGCTCTATCCACTGTGCCACCTAGCTGCCCCCTACCAATCTTTTTTTAAATTAAATTTTATTTTATTTTCAAAAACCAGCCTTTTCTCCCTTTCATTTCCCTTTCCCCACCCCCATTGAGAAATCAGGAAAAACAAACCCCCTGTTAAAAGCATGTATAGACAAGCAAAATCAAATTTCTCATTGGCTATGTCTAAAAAATGTCTTTATTTGCACTTGGCATCCACTGTTTCTCTGTTGGGAGGTGGGCGATGCGTCTTCAGGAATTGTGATTGGTCATTGTGTTGATTACAGTTCCCAAGTTTGCTTTCATATATATACGTCTCTCTCTCTCTCTCTCTCTCTCTCTCTCTCTCTCTCTCTCTCTCTCTCTCTCCTCTCTCTCTCTCTCTCTCTCTCCCTCCTCTCTCTCTCTCTCTCTCTCCCTCCCTCTCTCTCTCTCTCTCTCTCTCTCCTCTCCCTCTCTCTCTCTCTCTCTCTCTCTCTCTCTCTCTCTCTCTCTCTCTCTCTCTCTCTCTCTCTCTCTCCCTCTCTCTATTTAGCTCTATTGCATCTCAGAACTCCTGAGCTCAAGAGATCTGCCAACCTCAGATTCCATATAATAGGGACTACTATTGGCATGTACCACCATCTATCTATCTATCTACCTGTCTATCTGTTTTAATCAGTCAAGCTCTACCTTTTCACTCTCCTCACCCCTACCTTTTCCCCCACTGAGAACACAAAGAAAACAAAACCTATTACAAACATGTATAGTCCCTCAAAACAAATTTCCACACTGTCCATGTCCTAAAAAATATCCTAGATCCTTCACCTTTCTGTCAGGAGGCAGGCAACATGATTCATCATTAGTTCTCTAGATCTTGCTTGGTCATTATGCTGGTAAGATTTTAGCTCAATAATATTCTATCATGTTTATATGCCATAACTTGTTCATCCATTCCCCAATATATGGGCATCCCTTTAGAGTCCTATTCTTTGCCACCTCAAAAAGACCTATAGATATTTTTTTGTAAATCCTTAGAATTTGTTTTGTTTAGGACTATTCTGTCCCTTAAACTACCCTCCTCTCTTCTCCCCTTCCCTTCCTTTTCTTTGTATAGTGAAAAGCATTTCTGCACCCAACTATTTCCCATAACCTATCCTCCTCTTTTCTCCGCTTTTCTTCCTTTTCCCTGTAGGATGAAATGTATTTCTGTACTCAACTAACTCTCTCTAACTCTCTCTCTCTCTCTCTCTCTCTCTCTCTCTCTCTCTCTCTCTCTCTTCTCTCCTTTCTTCCTTCTTTTGATCAGTGCAGAAGGGAATCCACTGCAGAACCATTGGCCACTACCTTCTACCTCCTCCTCCTCGTTTGTATGGATGTCTACTTGTACACATTGATTATATAATATAATTTTCTCTATAACATTCTTTTCCTTCTTCTTCCTTCTCCGACCCCTGCCAAAGTATGTTTCTCTTCCTCTTTCTTTCTATTCTTCTCTTATGATCAAGACATAACAAAACTTTTCAGGCCTTTTCTAAATGGACTCTATGAAATCAGGTGATAATGAGGATCAGAGAGAATGCTATCATCTCCTATTTGAATGTAAGCAATTTATCCTTGTTTAGTCCCTTATCATTGTTAATTAATGTTTATTTTCTTATGTTTATTTTAACTACTGTTTTTGAACTTCAAAGTTTCTCTGCAGCACGGGTCTCTTCATCAGGAATACTTGGAAATCCTGTTTCTCCTTTACCCTGTAGTATTATACTCAGTGAGCAGCTACGTAGATTAGAGAGCCGGACCTTGCCAGCAACCAGCGTGATGTGTGACAGAGCGGTGAAGAAAAAAGGGGAAGGAGAACTGAAGAAAGAAAAGTCGGGTGAGGTGAGTCTGAGACTGATGCTTATAAAACTGGTTTATTTTCAGAGGTTACAAGATTATATAGAAAACAGCTTTGTACCATGAGAAATGATCTACAAGAGCTAATTGATAACATAAACAATCTAAGCAGCTAAAGAGCCTCATTATTTCATGAGAAAGTAGTTTTAATGCCAAATTTCATATCTATTGTTTTCCTGTCCAGTTCTTAGTACTGTCTACCCGAGTCAGCCACCTAGCCTCAAGGCTGGGCATGAGTAAGTACTTAGAATCAACAAACCATAACAAACAGAGCTAGGGCAAGAGTCATGGGAGCATTTATCCTGAGGCAAGCCTCCATATGTACTGACTATATTATAGACTAAATCTATAAGGACTTAGAGATTTTCCATAAGGACTAAGCCTCCCACAGGACCTGAAGTCAGGAACACTCATCTTCCTGAGTTCAATTCTGGCCTCAGACATTTACTAGCTGTGTGACCCTGGGCAAATCACTTAACTCTGTTTGCCTTAGTTCCTCATCTACAAAATGAGCTGGAGAAGGAAATGGCAAACACTCCAGTAATTGTGCCAAGAAAACCCCAAAATGGGGTCACAGAGTCAGACACAACTGAACAACAAAAAATTATACTCAATTTTGCTGGGTAAATTATTTGTGTCTGAAAGCCCATCAATTTTGCTTTCTGGAATATCATATTCCAAATTCTCTGCTGTCTTATATTAGTGGCTGTGATCACACATACATAGTTGTACATGATCCTGACTGCTTTCTGGCTGCTTGTAGAACTTTTTCATTGACTTGGAAGCTCTAGATTTTGGCTAGAATATCCCTGGGGGTTTTTATTTTGAGCTTTTTTTTTTCCAAGAAGATACTAATTGATTCTTTTTATTTTGACTTTGTCCTCTGGTTCTAAGAGATGTAGGGATGTTTCTTTTAAGATTTCTTGAAATACAATGTCTAAGGTCATTTTTTTGGTCATGGTGTTCAGATAGTGCAATGATTCTTAAATTTTTTTCTCCTCCTGTTTTCCACTTCAGTAGTTTTTGCTATGAGATACCTTACATTTTCTTCTTTTTTTTTCAGCCTTTTGACTTTGTTTTAATATTTCTTGTTGCCTCATGGAAACATTGGCTTTTATTTGGTCCATTTGAATCTTCAGGGAGTTTGTTGCTTGGGAAAGATTTTGTGTCTCTTGTGCCAAGCTGTTAATTCCCTTTCCAATTCTTTCTTTTACAGTTCTCATTTCTTTTCCAATTTTTCCCTTAAACACTCTCATTCCATTTATAAAAAAAAATTTTTAACTCTTCCCTTGTCCCTACCCCCAAAGTCTTGCTTCATCTCTTTCAGGAATTCTAGTTGATTTTGTGGCTAAGCTGTGTTTTCCTCTGAGGCTTAGCTTTTAAATATTTTGGAGTTGTGGTCTTCTTCTGCATTTGTATCTTGAGTGTCTGCCACCATAATAGCTCATTATGGCAGTGGGATTCTTTTTTTTCCCCCATTCTTCCAGCTTACTTCTGGACTTTGGATTTGATGTTAGGCCTGAGCTCAGTAGCCCTTCTGGAAGTAAGGACTGGGCTGGTGCTGTTACTGCTTTCTTGGGATATTATATTATTCCAGGATCTTAGGGACAACTACAGACCTTTCAATCTTTCAGTGCTCCCAAAGTGATCTGATCCAGGACAAAGTCTGATTGTTCTCCCCTCTTCCCTCCCCTTCCTTTCCCCCATCTCTGTGAGCTCTGACTCTGGGTCTGTATGAGAACACATGGCTGCCAGACTCAGGTCCTATCAATGAGCTGGAAAACTCTGTTGGTTCAGAGGGACAGAATTGTAGACTCCCCTTTGATGAGGGATTCCTGTCCTGGTTATTTCTCAGCAGGCTGGGCTAGATGCTAAAAGTCAGACCTTGTTTTGAGTCTAAAGGATAAGGCACACTGCTGCTGCTGCTGCTACTGGCTTCTGAACTTGCTCCTTTCTCCATATTTCACCTAGGGCCTCCATATCCAGGAATACCACTCCCCTGCACAGGTTCTCTTCTCAGTTTGCCCTTGATCTGTGACCAGGAATTGGTGGGCAACAAAGCTACTAGTTGTCACCTGTGCCTATCATAGTGCTTCCATATGAGTCTGGGGGTGTCAAGGGGTGGGTCTGGGACCTCCTCTTGCCCTGGAGCACAGCCTTTCCTTGGGTGCTGAGTGCTCCACATGCCACATACTCTTGGCCAGATGTCATCACTAGTGTCTGCAGATTTCCCTGTCTGTCTGTCTGTCTCCCTCTCCCTCTCTCTTTTTTGGCTAGGCAATGGGGTTAAGTGACTTGCCCAGGGTCACACAGCTGGTTAAGTGTCAAGTGTCTGAGGCCGGATTTGAACTCAGGTCCTCCTGAATCCAGAGCTGGTGCTCTAATCACTGTGCCACCTAGCTGCCCCCCCAACCCTGTCTGTCATTTTGTGTTGAACAGGGCTGGACAAATGACTCCCTGTGACTTTTTCTAGATTTCTGTCTGGAGGAGTTTGTGGAATGAGAGCCCACCAGACTGCTTCCTTCCACTCTGCCATCTTGGCCCTGCTAGTTCACTAACCTTCAATCACTCCCTGTTTGCCAGCTGCATCTCTATTACAAGCATACCCATATTTCCTCTATTTTCAAAAAACCTTCACTTGATCCATCCATCCTTTCTTACTATTGTCCTATATATTTCTCCCCTTTCGTGCTTAAACCCCTTGAAAAGGCTTTCTACATTTGGTGCCTCCACTTCTCTTCCTCTCACTCTCTTAACTTTTTTCAGTCAGGCTTCCAACCTCATCATTCAATAGAAACGTATCTCCAAAGTTACCAATAATCTATAATGACCTTTTCTCATTCCTCGCCTTTTTTGACTTCTCTGCAATCTTTGACACTGCTGATAACTCTCCTCTCCTTGATACTTTCCTCTGTAGGTTTTCATGGCATTCACCTCTCCTGGTTTTTGTCCTGTCTGACAGCTCCTTCTCATCTCCTTTGTTGGATCTTCCTTCTTGTTGCTCCTACTAACCATGGAAGTCCCCCAACGTTCTATCCTGGGCCCTCTTCTCTTCTTCCTCTATACTAATTTGCTAAGTAATCTCATCAGATTGCATGGATTCCATGGACATTCCTATGTAGATAATTCTCAGCTCTACTTATTCAGCCTAAACTCTCTGCTGACCTCCAGTCTCATGTAGATACATTTGCCTATTAGACATAGTCAAAGTATGTGAACAGATAATTTTCAAAAGAAGAGACAAATTATCAGCAATATGTTCAAAACTGTTAGTACAAAGAAGTTCAAATGAAAACATCTCTGAATTATTGTCTTATAGTTGTCAAAGATAGAGAACTTGGAAAAATTCAGTCTTAAAGGAGTTGTGTGCTCACTAATTCATTGCTGGTGGAGCTGTAATTTACTCTCACTATTTTGGAAAAGGGAGAAGGGATTTGATTCACCTCATCTCCAAAAGCTCACTTTATGTAGCCACAGACAGACGTGAGGTGTTGATGTGTTAACATAGTTTTAATACCCAGTGGTTACTTTATGAAGTATAGCACCTCTCTTGTACTTCAGAATCAGAAGGGACAACTCAAATAACTAGACTGACAATTGGCCATGTTCCTAAGGGCTTTAAATAGCTGAGCCCTGGAAATAGTTTTGGCAGGAGCCAGCAGTAAGAGAAGAGTCCAGTGCCCGAAAGGGAATCGCTTTAGGGGAGAGGATTTCTTTCTTCTCCCTACTCCATTAGCCAAGGCACCTTGCCATGGAACTACTTGCCTAGAAGGAGACATCTTATTTAGCAGATTGAGAGTCTGTCCCTTCAGGAAAGTCCAGGCAAGAACTAGCAGTCATGCAGGGACAGAAACTGGAAGTAGAGAGGTAGTTACCCAAGGACAAAAGCAATGTAATGGAGCAGGACCCTTGGCAGCAGAGAAGAGAGCTAACTATGGACTCAAGGAAGAAATAGCCCTGACAATGAAGAGTTGGGAGTTTTGTGAGAACTTTATGAGGAGAGAAAGGACATGGAATCCCTAAGGTACAAGATGGGTGAGTTACTTGTTCACATGTTTTCTATACGTGTGTACACATACCTCTCTGCTATTGTACTTTAAGTTTGTGCCTACTCTTCTCTGTGTAGTTACAATGTAATTTTTGATTCCAAGTTACTTCCACTAAGCTTATACTAGGCTATATCTATATAAAATTATTCAGTGGCATTATTAATAACAGCAGAAGGTAAGAAACAAACCATGTCCAATGACTGGGAAATGATTAAATAAAGTGTGCCATATGAACATAATGGAATATTGTTGAATGATAAGAAATAATGAAAAATGAAGACTTTTAGAAAAGAGGAGAAAAAACCAATGCAGAATGAAGAAAGAAGATTCAGATGAAAACTATATCCATGGACTCCACTTCTCTACTGGATCTATGATCTCATCAATGTGGAACTTCCCTCCAGTGATGTCCATATCAATTTTATGTGTATTTGTTATTTTTCTCCAGTGGACTATATGCTTCTTCAGGGAAGGAACTGTTTCTTTTTTGTAGTGGTATTCTTTTGCACCTTGCACGTGATAAGTACTTAATGAGCATTTGTTGCATAAATGAGTGAATGAATAAGTTAAAGGAGTCTGTCCACGTGTCTTCTCGAAGGAGTCCATCCAACATGTTGCACTATTCTCTTGTGGGATACCAATGCCGTCTGCTATCTGTCTCTCGTTTTCATAACATACTGACTAAAAGAATGTATAGTTTCTCTTTTTTCCTGCCCCCTCACGTTGTACTCACTCTATACAAATGGGCTGGGCCCATCTAGGCTCACACCTGTGAATGTACAGGTGGGAGGAAGAATCTTGGCTTTGGAAAAGGAGAAAGGGAATTCATATGCTACTTGCTGGGTGGAGATAAACCAAGGGGAATCAACCAATCAATTAAAAATTATTATGCTCCTGGTAAATGCCAGGCACGGTGTTAGTTGCTGGAGACACAAAATGGAACAGTCCCTACCTTCAAGGAGCATGGTCTTGGGTGCAGGTGAATAGGGGAGTGACAAAAATGACTATTATCAGCCTGGAACCAGCTTACCTCTTGTTCTCCAGTTGGTCTCCTGAGACTTTCACAGCAAGGCTATGTCCTCTTTGGAGAAGTAGAGAATGTGCGCGGAGCAGAGCTGAGAGCAAAGAGAGAGATGGGGCTCCCTATGAGTGGGAATTGATGCCTCATCCAGATTTCCAGCAGACCTTGAAGAGACTGTAAGTAATTGGCTGGCCTGAATTCTTGAATCATCTCTTCTGGTGGAACTCTTACCTTGGAGGTTTTGTGGTGAGTGGAAAATCCCTGGTATTGAATATCTCTGCAAATTTTCCATGGGAGTGGCTAAGATGAAGAACCGAGTTCTTGGAATTGGTCTTGCCTTGTGACAAAGGAGGGTGGCTGCTCGGTTTTCAAGGAAATTCCAATGTTGGTTGCCTTGATACATTTGGTTTTATCCTTTTCAATGTTATGATTTAATGGCTATACCCAGTTTACTTTTGGGATTGATTTTAAATTAAAATGCAGAAGAAATAGAAAGAAGGCCAGAGTTCCTAGTGGGTAGGGGCATCTTGAACCATGAATCTTATTGCATCAAGTCAAACCTCAACTCACTAAGCCAGTGGTTTTCAAATTTTATATAGCTATTGCTCTCCTTTTATGAAAAAAAAAATTAGGCCCACCTCATACTTCTCATAAAACTATCTATGCAAAGTACTTTATTAACTTTTATTTTATTAAAATGAAGCTAAGCATTATACTTTTTTTGGGGGGGCTAGGCAATGGGGTTAAGTGACTTGCCCAGGGTCACACAGCTTGTGTCAAGTATCTGAGGCAGTATTTGAACTCAGGTCCTCCTGACTCCAGGGCCAGTGCTCTATCCACTGCTTCATGTAGCTGCCCCAAGCATCATAATTTTTAACAACACATGAAAATGTAATAAAAACACAACAGAGTTATTGATAAAATACTTCAAAATTTCAGCATTTGTAACTTATACAAATATGACCACTAGGTGGCACTGACATGCAAGGCAGGCTGAACTGTCAATCATCCCCTAAACCAGATTACCAGTTTGAGCATTTTCCAGGAATATGCTCCCCTCTCTCTTTGCATGAATGAAACTTCTTTAGACCCTCACTCCCCTTCTCTTCCAGGAGATGTGGTTGTCTTTTCAAATACAGAGTACTTTAAAAAAAAATGAATACCTCACCACACTCCTGTCTTTTGTCAGATATCTTACTTTAAAAACTAAATATCTCAGCCATGAATTCTTGAGCCAAGCATGTTAATGTTTATTACTGGTGCCCCCAATTTTCCTTAAGAGCTCCAGCCCCCGGATCTGGCCTTGTGTCTTAAACAGGGGATACTCTTTCTGGAAAAGAGATCCTACCCTCCTCTCTCCCTTATCTTCTATTTGTAATTGTTGCAAGACTGGACTTCCTTTTCCAAAGCAAGCTTGACTACCTGGTCCCCTAAGGCTTCTGAGGGTTCCCCTGAGAGGATAAATGTAGCCAGGCTTGTTCTGGAAAAGGGGTAGCTTTTCTTTAATGCTATTAGTTTGAGCCCCTATTTCAGGATATTCTCCCATAGTTAGCCACAAGCAATTAGCACTACATTTCCATTTAACCAATTAACATTTTTAATTTAATTTAATTTTTAATATTTTTAAAAAGAATATTTATTGGGGCAGCTAGGTGGTGCAGTAGATAGAGCTCGAGCCTTGGAGTCAGGAGGACCTGAGTTCAAATTCGACTTCAGACACTTGACAGTTAACTAGCTGTGTGACCCTGGGCAAGTCACTTAACCCCAACTGCCTTACCAAAACACACACACACACACACACACACACACATATATATATATATATATATATATATATCCCAGAATTACAAACATTTCCCTCCAACATCTGTACCACCCAGTCCCTAGGGAGAGTAGACTCAAACAAATTAAAATAGTTTTTACACAGCATTCGTCCCACCAAGTCCACTTCCAGATATGGCAGAGCCACTGGACATATCATTGTCTCAGCTGTTACTGGTCTGGATTGCTCAGGCCATTTCTGAAGGTCTTGCTACTGAGCTCCTCATGGCTTCACTTCTAGGCCAGCTGGCAGAAAAATGGAGCACTGACTCTGGGCCCTGGACATCTGGTCCATTCTGACTGCTTTTTTGTATTTTCAGTTTATTTGTTTGTTTGTTTATTTATTTATTAAACATGTGTTTTTAAAACTTTGAGTTCCAAATTTTCTCCCTCCCTCCCTCCCCACCCACCCTCATTGAAAAGGCAAGCAACTCAATATAGGTTGTACATGTGCAGTTATGCAAAACACTTCCTTAGTAGACATGTTGTGAAAAACTAACTCTATTTCCCTTAATCCTATCCTGCCCTCCCATTTATTCTATTCTTTCTTTTGACCCTGTCCCTCCTCAGAAGTATTTACTTCTGATTACCCTCTTTCCCAATCTGCCCTCCTCTCTATCACCCTCCTGCTCTCTTGTCCCCTTCTCCCTCTATTTTCCTGTAGGGTAAGACAGATTTCCATACCCAATTGAATGTGTATGTTATTCCCTCCTTAAGCCAAATCCTATGAGAATAAGATTCCCTCATTCCCTCTCACCTTCCCTTGTTTCCCCTCCACTGTGAGAGACTTTTCTTTTCTGTTTTTTTTTTGTGAGATAATTTACCCCATTCTACCTCTCCCTTTCTTCTCCGAGTATCATCCTCTCTCATCCCTTAATTTTATTCTCCAGATATGACCCCTTAATCTTCAACTCACCCTGTGCCCTCTATCTATCTATCTATATATACATACATACAATTTTTTTCCTTCAACTACCCTAATACTGACAAAGTTCTCATGAGTTACAAATATCATCTTTCCATGCAGGAATGTAAACAGTTCAATCTTAATAAGTCTCTTATGATTTCTCTTTCCTGTTTACCTCTTCATGTTCCACTGGAGTCCTGTATTTGAAAGTCAAATTTTCTGTTTAGCTCTGGTCTTTTCATCAGGAATGCTTGAAAGTCCTCTATTTCACTGAATGACCATTTTTTCCCCTGAAGGATTATACTCAGTTTTGCTGGGTAGGTGATTCTTGGTTGTAATCCTATCTCCTTTGCCCTCTGGAATATTATATTCCATGCCCTGCAGTCCTTTAATGTAGAAGCTGCTAAATCCTGTGTCATCCTGATTGTGTTTCCACAGTACTTGAATTGTTTCCTTCTGGCAGCTTGTAATATTTTCTCCTTGACCTGGGAACTCTGGAATTTGGCTACAATATTCCTAGGAGTTTTCCTTTGGGGATCTCTTTCAGGAGGAGATCTGTGGATTCTTTCAATTTCTATTTTGCCCTCTGGTTCTAATATATCAGGGCAGTTTTCCTTGATAATTTCTTGAAAGATGATGTCTAGGCTCTTTTTTTGATCATGGCTTTCAGATAGTCCAATAATTTTTAAATTCTGTCTCCTGGATCTATTTTCCAGTCAGTTGTTTTTCCAATGAGATTTTTCACATTGTTTTCTAATTTTTCATTCTTTTGGATTTGTTTTACAGTGTCTTGATTTCTCATAAAGTCACTATCTTCCAATTGCTCTATCTAATTTTTAAGGAAGTATTTTCTTCAGTAATCTTTTGGACTTCCTTTTCCATTTGGCCAATTTTTCTTTTTAGGGCATTTTTCTCCTCATTGGCTTTTTGGACCTCTTTTGCCATTTGGGTTAGGCTGTTTTTTAAGGTGTTATTTTCTTCAGTATTTTTTGGGTCTCCTTTAGCAAGCTGTTGACTTGTTTTTCATGATTTTCTTGCATCTCTCATTTCTCTTCCCAGTTTTTCCTCTACTTCCCTTACTTTCTTCTCAAAGTCCCTTTTGAGCTCTTCCAAGGCCTGGGACTGATTCATATTTTTCTTGGAGGCTTTGGATGTAGGAGCTTTGATTTTGTTGTCTTCTTTTGGTTGTATATTTTGATCTTCTTTTTCACCAAAGTAAGATAATATAGTCTGACTCTTTTTGCGCTGCTTACTCATGATCCCAGCCAATTGAGTTTTAAACTCTTTGTTAAGGTAAGAGTCTGCTTCCAATGTGGAGAGTGTACTGTCCCAAGCTTCAGGGGTTTGTGTAGCTGTTTTCAGAGATACTTGTAGGGACCTGTAAATTTTCAGTTCTTCCAAGGTGGTATGATAAGGGGTGAAGTGTTTACTCCTTTCCTGGCCTGTGAGCACAAGTATTCCTTTCTGTCCCGTAACTGTGAGGAGGGGTTTCTCTCCACAGCCACTACAAGCTCCACCACACCAGCGCTCTTCCTCACCCCAGCACCACCACTCAGAACTGTGACTCAGATCCACACACGGGCAAAGCAAGAGATTCCTGCCTCAGCACTGGCAAACAGATCTCTGCAGTCCCTCTCTGATCAGCTACTGGATTCCCCCTCAGTCTGTGGGCCGGAAGCTCAGGAAGCAGCTATACCCCCCCCCCCACTCTTGGGGAATGGACCTGAAACCCCACCTTCCTCTCTGACCACCGACAGAAACAGACTTTTCCCACTGACCTTCTAAGTTGTCTTTGGCATTCATGGATTGAGGAGTCTGGAAACCTCCACAGCTACCCGCGATTCAGTCCTCTGAGGCTTGCTCCAGGTTTGCTGTGGCCTGCGTGCTCACGCTGCGCTGCACTGTGCTCCCAGCCCGGCATGATACACCTTTCTGATCAATCATCCAGGTTGTCTTGGGCTGGAAATTTGTTTCACTCTGTCTTTTTGTAGGTTCTGCTGCTTCAGAATTTGTTTAGAGCCATTTTTATGAGTATTTGGAGGGGTTTGGGGGGAGAGCTCAAGCAAGTCACTGCTTTCACTCCGCCATCTCTGACTGCTTTTTTGAAGCTCACTAGGTTGTAGCTGTTCTCCATGCTTCTATATCTGACAGCAAGAAAGAGTAAATACAAAGAGGCAAGCAACTGGGGCCTGAATTCACAGGTCACATGATCCCAAAGGGCGAGACCCAGAAGCTTTACCCCTCCTAGCGTAGTCTTTTGTGCCTTACCCACGGCCAAGAGAATAACTCTGAGTGGCTAGGCTCATTCTAGCATGCCATTTCTGGGACCACACCCAATCAGAGGGGTTCCTCCTCACCACGTGGCCAGTGTATCAGAAGCAGTTATGGGATACTGATGCAGGCTCCGAATTAGGACACAAGGCCCTTCCATGATACATGATATTGGCTTCCTGGGAGCAGGTTCCCTAGAGTCTTCCACGAGGGGATTACATTAATTCAGCACACCATGCCTGCCCACCGGCCCCCTCTGATATTAACATTAAATAAATCATGATTATAATGTATATCAAATTGCTTGCCTTCTCAATGAAGGTGGAGGGTGAGAATTTGGAACCAAAAAATTTTAAAAACAAATGTTAAAAGTTATTTTTGCATGTAATCAGGGGGGAAATAAAATATTAAATAAAAACACTTAAAAACAAATAAAACTTGACATGTAGCTTCTAATTTATGCTTGCCAACAGATTTTTTTTAATGGTAAGTAAATAAACTATTAATTGAAAGTAAGAGCCAGGGGCAGCTAGGTGGCCCAGTGAATAGAGCACCGGCTCTGGAGCCAAGAGGACCCGAGTTCAAATCCAGCCTCAGACACATACATACCACTGTGTGACTCTGGGCAAGTCACTTAACCAAGATGCCTTCACCAAAAAAAAAAAAAAAGAGACAAGGAAGAAATAAGTTTGTATGGCTACTCAGATAAATGGAAAGGGATCAGTTGTCTTTGCTGGGAAGTGAGAGGGGTCAAAAGATTAGTCCTGACCCTTCAGCAGGTTCTCACCTCTCTGAGGGTGAAAATCTCAGGTTGCTCTACTTTTCTCACTGTTATCTCCTTGGAACACAGAAATAGTCGTGACCCTCCAGCAGCCCTTTTACCATCTTTTGACTGGTCCAAAAGAAAGTGAGGTTCAAATAACACCCACCCTTTGTCCTCTTTCCTTTTTATTTATATATCTGGGCACCCAGTGTATGTGAGATAGTAAATTCCCTTCCCTTTCTTCTCCAGTGTATTTTCCCCTCCCTTTTGTTTGTTCTTGTAAGATCATCAAACTGTAACCACATTGGTCTTAGGATCTTTGTATTATTTAACTCCTTCTATGACTTTAAAGAGACAATTAAAATTGTTTCTTCTCCATCTGTTAGAATGTGGACACTCCATCCTTGCATAGACCCTTCCAAACGTTCAAATGTACTTACCTTTTCACATTTAAAAAAATTCCCATGCCTGGGTTTCAACGTCTCTACTCAGCTCTGTTTTTTTTTTCATCAGGAATACTTCGAAGCCCTCTATTTCATTAAAGATCCTTTGCTGTAGGATTATCCTAACTTTTGCTGGGTAAGTTATTCTTGGCTATAAGCTTGCCTATTTTGTCTTTTGAAATATTATATTCATGTGGCTCCTTGGTATTTGAACTTTTTCTTTTTGCATATACTTTTTTATTTGACCTGGCAATTCTGGATTTTGGCTATGATGCTTCTCTGAGTTTTCATTTTTGAGTGCTTGCAGGAGGTGACTGGTATATTCTATTTTTCACTTTACCCTCTGGTTGTGATAGGTCTGGGAAGGTTTTTTTTTTTTAAAAGGCAATTGGGGTTAAGTGACTTGCTTAGGGTCACACAGCTAGTAACTGTCAAATGTTTGGTCTGAGGTTGGATTTGAACTCTAGCCCTCCTGACTTCAGGGCCAGTGCTCTATCCACTGCGCCACCTAGCTGCCCTGAAAGTTTTTATACATTATCTCTTGAAATGTGATATCTATACTTTTTTTCCCTCCAAAAAGTATGATTCTCAAGATTTTTTTTAAACCCAATTTCCAGGTCTGTTATTTTTTTTATGAGTAGAATCTTTTGTTTCTTCTACTTAAATTTTTTTAAACTTTGTTTTAGTATTTCTTGTTATTTCATGAAATCAGTAACTTCCATTTGGTACATTCTAACTTTCAGGGAATCTGTTGCTTTGGTAAGGTTTTGTACCTCTGCACGTAAACTGTTAATTCTCCTTCCAAGTTGTTCCTATAGCTCTTTCATTTCTTTTCTAATTCTTTCTTCAAGAAATCTCATTTTCATTTATTATGATTTTAAACTCTAGCTTCATTTCTTCCAGGAACTGTGTTGATTTTATGATCAGGCTGTGTTTTAATCTGAACTTCTGTTTGTAGATATTCAGTGGCTCTCTTCCTCTGGGTCTGTGTCTTGGTAGTCTCTGGATCTGGCTTCTTATTGTGGGGATCTTTTTTTTTGCTTACTCATCTGTTAGGTCTTACTTCTCACACTGGAACTTTGTCTTAGGGCTAGGCTCTGTGCACTTCTGGAAGGAATGATGAAGCTTTTTTTGGTTTTGATTGGCATTTTCTGGGCCTTTGCTGCTTCCTCCTATTCTTCCATCTTCATCCATCTCATTTGTTCTCCTTTTAATTATTTTCGTCTTAAACTCTCATCTTATTTTCTTATCTTTATTTTTTTCCATCTCTCTAATAGTCTTTGCTAAGTCATTTCAAACAAACAACCAACCAACCAACCCTCTAAATATGAGTTTGTAGTTGTGGGATTATTCTCTTCTGGGTTTACCCCTTGGACCTCTCTTAATTCGTAGTGCTAATTGGGTTTGGTGTTTTCTTCTGTTTGCTCATGTTTTCAGCCCCAATTCTTGGTTTAGGACTCTGTGTTTGGATCAGTCCTCTCTGGCACACTTGGAAGGGTTGGGTAGGACCTGTTTGGCCTTGTCTCCTTTGTAGTCTGTAGTGCAGCTGCTGCCAGTCTACATGAGGTGGGTGGCATTAGGGTCCCCACTGTCTCAATCCCTGATCTCTGTCTCAATCCTAGTGGACCACCACTGTGATGCCAGGCTTGAGTTAAATCTCTTCCTCTGCACAATCCTTAATCAGGAGTTGGTTCTGTCCTCTGCCAAGGATTCTCTAATAATAGGCCTCTGCAACTGTGGTACTCGGGTGCCAAATTGGCCTCATCATGGTTTCCAGTGATTGCATTGCCTGGGCCTTGGGCACATAATGGGAGTGTTTTTTATTTCCTCCTTTTGTTCTGATAAGACAGGGTTGGCACCTAGCTTTGAGAACCTGATCACTGGAGCTAGCACTGGCTTACAGCGTCCCTAAATGGCTGTCACATCTATTTGAGGGAGTTTGTGCTGGCTCCACTCCCTTCTTTACCTCTAGCCAGATTGCAGGGATATGCTTCTATTTCCTCAGTGCCATCCTCTCCTGTCCTGCCCCTTCCTTGTTTAGCAATGATTTACCTAGTTTGATCCTTCACCCTCTTCTGATCACCTTTCTGTGCAATTGTAAGATGGATGGAAGAGCTTATTTTTGTTTCCTTTTGGGTTCCTTTAGCATTGGTCTTTCTGGGGCCATATTCAGACATTTGCTGGAGCTTATGTGGCAGCTACGCTTCTCTACAAACCTTCACAAAAAGAAAACATAAGTCTTAGGGTAGCTAGGTGGCGCAGTGGATAGAGCTTCAGCCTTGGAGTCAGGAGGACCTGAGCTCGAAACCAACCTCAGACATTTGACACTAGCTGTGTGACCCTGGACAGGTCACTTAACCCCAACTGCCTCACCCAAAAAAAGAATAAATAAATTAAGATCTTGGCAATAAGTCTTATCTCTTCCTGGTAAAAATGGAAGCAGAGAGAAAAAATGGAAGTAGAAAACATAGAAGTCTTAAAGCTCCAAAGTGATACCTGGGCAAACTGAATTTGGTATTCATTCCTATATTTTATGGATTTGCTATTTGTTCTTTTCCAATTTCTTGTAAATTTTTCTATATGGCCTTCAGAACTACAGTAACCAGGTTTTACTTTTGTCATCACAGAATCCAAAATCTTGTTTCAGACGTGTAATTTCCTGTGCTCAATTTTTTCCTGCGTTTTGTCGTTTTGTTTCTAAGACTTTGTTCTTTGATTAAACAATGGCTTCTCATTACAATTACTTTACATGTACTATTGCTCCATACAGATTGCTGTTTCATTATCTCTTTGGTTAACATTTCTTAGTTGCATGCAGGACCTTATTTCATCTGTCGACACTGCTGCTAAGTTCCTTTGTTCCGTTGCTTCTCACTTACAGGTCCTATGGAATTTGGTTTCATTTCTGGTGCTTCTGTTGGTGCTGCTTGAGTGTTTTTGCTGCTGCTTCCCATTATGGTGGGACTGTTTTTTTAATCATTTGAGTATTTTTAAACATTTTGATAGTTAATCTGTTATTCCTTTTCTTATTTTCTTTCCTTATGTTTCTTATGTGTAATATTGTGATACTAAGCACTCCTTCAACCTCTTGCTCTTCCATCTTTCCATAAGCCCAACAACTCGATTTTTATAAACAAGGAGAGCAAGCTTGTTAGCATACATTTTGAAGAATTCTCCTTTGTCCCTTGGAAAACTGGCACCACATTTACCCATCTCTAGTCCTGAGGCACCTTGCTTAAGCTGATTTTTCAAAAGTCCGATGCTTTTTTTTCAACCACCAACTAAATAATCACACACAGATTTCTTTTACCTCAGAGGTTACACTTGGGATGTACTACCCTAGAAAGAGAACCTCAAATCAAACTCCTCAACAAGTGTGACAGCACTGAACAATGGAGAGAACAACAGATCTGGCAGTAGAGGCCCTAGGTCTGAAACTTGGCTCTGCCAGCTGTCCTCCCTGGATCTTAGTATTGTCGTCTGTATGCGTATGTATAGGAGGCTGGACTTGACCTCTAAGGTCCTCTCCACCTCTAAATCCATGATGTTTTCTCTGTGCCCAAGACTATGCTGGGGGCACTGTGGAGGGAACAGACAGTGGAGCTCTCAGTCTATTTGAGTAAATGAGATGCTTAGAAATGGGAAACTGAATAAAAATACAAAACTGTGTGTGCTCATCCAGCAAGCAGAGGCAGAGTTCAGAAGGTAGAAAACAAGTATTTATACAGTGCCTACTATGTTCCCGGCGATGTGTTAAGCACTTTACAAATATTATTTCATTTCATCCTCACAACATCCTTGGGAGGTAGGTGCTAGTATTTTATCATCTCTATTACAGCTGAAAAAACTGAGGCAGAGGTTAAGTGACTTGTCCAAGGTCACAAAGTTAGTATCTGAGCTAAATTTGAATTCAGGTCTTCCTGACTCTAGGTCCAGTGTTCTATGCATTGCGACACCGACGTGCATCTAAAGAGGAAAAATCACTGTGGACTGGGGTGGTGAAGCTTCCTGGAGAAGTCTGAACTTGAGCTGAACCTTGAAGTGTGGAGAGGAAGAGGAGACCATTTAAAGTTAAAGGAAAAGCCTGCGTAAAGGAATGGAGGGAAGAAAGGATATGACATATGTGGAGCACAGCATCTGTTTGGCTGAAGTATGCCAGGTACGGAAAGGGGAGCATGAGGAGATAAATATAGTGGGGAGCAGCCTGTACAGGCAAAGGAATCTGGACCTTATTCTACAGGCCAAGAAGAGCCACTGACAACTTTTAAGCAGATTAAAAACAATCAATTTCACCTGTGTCAAAGCATTTAGGTCTATTTTTAACCAGGGGTCTCCAAAGCCCAAATCCCCTAAAGACTTTCAATTTGCTGAACAAGGCCATCTGTCCCTTCAGGGCCAATGACCAAGGGTGTAGCCCTGCAGAGGAAAGGGAGGACGTAAATCATTCACCAGTCCCCCACCCCCTGCCACTTACCTTCTAATCCTGCCCATGTTCAGCCCATGTTCCACCCAGACCTTACAAAGAAAAGAGGACACCTTCCACCTTATTCTGTCTGGGAGAGGAGTGGAGATCAGATCCAGCAGGAGAGGTAGAAGAGGCAGAAAGCACTGGGTTTGAGGCCCAGCTTTGGCACTGGGCTACACAGCCATTTGAGTCTATTCCATCTGTAAAATGATGCTTATAGAATGAGATAACTTCTTTGCTTAATTTTGTTCTCAGCTATCAGTCCCTTCCAGCTTTAACCTTCTATGTTGAAAGGGCCATTCCCATCTGTGGCATTCTGGACATGAGACAGGTGATTGCAGCTGTAGCTGGCCTTGCTTACATTAAGAATATGTGCTAGGTCAGGGCAGCTAGGTGGCACACTGGATAGAGCTCTGGCCTTGGAGTCAGGAGGACCTGAGCTCAAATCTGGCCTCAGCCACTCGACAATTACTAGCTGTGTGACCCTGGGCAAGTCACCTAACCCTGATTGCCTCATCAAAAAAAAAAAAGCTAGCATATGTGCTAGGAGGGGCTATCCTTACCAAGGTACATGCCCTATAGCAGTTGCCCCCTCCATAGCCAAGGCTTGGTTTTTTCCTGAACTCTATCCATACTATTGAGTGACCCACAAATTTCCAGTGGGGAACCTTGAAAGAAATAGAAACTCTGGACTTTCTTTGGCTGCTTGATTTGCCAGCCAGCTACGTACTGCAGAGTCAGGGCTCACATGCCACTGCCTGGCACCCTACCTTCAGCTGCCCGGGCCGTAGCTGCCACCACTTCCCAGTTGTGCCGCTGGCCTCCGAGGCCCAGGTACACATAAACCACCTGACTACAGGACGATGGGCTTCTTTGGTAAAAGGAGAGGCTCCAGGGGCAGCTAGGCAGTGCAGTGGATAGAGCTCTGGCCTTGGAATCAAGAGGACCTGAGCTCAAATCTGGCTTCAGCCACTTGACACTTACTAGCTATGTGACCCTGGGCAAGTCACTTAACCCCAACTGCCTCACCAAAAAGCAAAAACAAACAAAAAACAATAAAAAGAGAGGCTCGAGAAGGATGAGATACATTTAACCTAAACCACCAGCCCAAACTTTGACCTCTCAGCTGCTTTAATGGCTGTTGCTTAGTTCATGGAAACCTGAGCACCAACAATCAAAAGGAGGGACTAGAATCACAATCAGTGAATTAATCAACAATCATTCATTGAAACACTGATCCCTATTCAGAGAAGCAGATCAGTGTAATGGAATGACTACTTGACTGGGAGTCAAAAGACCTGGGTTCAAGTCCTAACCACTTAGTAGCTACGAGATGGTGGGTAAGTCATTTGACCCTTCTAGACCTCAGTTTGCTCACCTAAAAATAGATATCCCTCCTACTTGCTTTCTAGGGATGTTCTTAGGCTCAAATGAGGTGAACAAAAGTTATGTTAAAAATCTGTTATGACTATTCTTAAAAGGAGACAACGGGAAATAAAGTCCATTAACTTTAAAATGAGCTTTAATTTCTTTTCCTTAAGTGCATTTATCAATGTAAACAGAGCATGTTAGAGATTCCAGTGAATAGCAGGATACTGTTGATATGTTTGTTTTAATTCAGAAACTATGGAACTATGCCAATGACTTGATTGAGACAGCAGCTTCTAAACAACTTAGTTGTTGACGTTACCTCCAACCTAGTAAACTACTTTCAATTGTACAGGCTCTAAGCTGAAAGCCACTAGCTGTCAAAGAGAACCTAATAATGATAATTAAAAAACAAAACAAAAACCCCAACCCCAAACTGTTTTACTGTTAGTATTTCACATTGGAATGTGTTGTGTGTCGCTGCCACACATGGGGGTGGGAATGGGGGCCTGTGGAGAGGACTCTTCTCTTCCTGCCACGGCCATTTGGAATAGCACAGACTCCCCAATCGTCTGTACCTGCTCTTGGAAATCGAAGACTGAATCACTTCATGGCACTAAGAATTTAAAAAATAAATCTCTGCTAAAAAGGACATCCCATTTGGAGATAAGGGTGACCTGCTGCCTAGCATGGGGCTGTTTGTGTTTGTATACATGAGGAACAGCATGTTTTGGCCGCCTGATGTCCCCGACTGGAGGTGGGGGAGGAAGGAACATTGGCCATTCTGGTTTTTAAAAATTAAAGAGAGGCAACCCCTTTCCCCAAATCACAGGCAAAGAAGAAAGTGGGTAGAGGTCCCTGGGGTGATCCTTGTTTCCTAAGTCACATGAGGATCACCATCAGAAGCTACTTATACCACAGTTGGAAAGGCATTATTTTAGACAGTGAAAGGTCAGAGATCACAGACGCCACTGAGGGGCCTGCAGACAACAAGAAACTTCAATGGATTATGGACAAGAGACCGAAACCCAGGCACCAAAGAGGAGAAAACCAGTATTTCCACCTTGAAACACTCTCCAAAGAATTCAATAAATTCATGCTTCACTTTGGTTTATTTTTACAAAACATTTAAAAAATGGATTTGATTTGGTAGATTGTCCAGAACTATGAATGAATGTAGCCTTGTGACCGAATAGTAAAGCGTAATTTGGAAAGGCCCAGGTTGAGGCTAATATATTCCCCACTCTCAATAGTCAGCTCTCTGCTGCTTAAATGAGTGACTTCTGCAGTGGGTCCTGAGACAGAAATGCTTGTAAGATAAATGCCTGAGTCCGAGACTCTGTACAGTGGACGCACGGGGATCATGTATACAAACACCTTTAATCAACATTGGCATTTGAGTGCCTACAGAAGGACTCTTCTGACCAGACTGGTTTTCTTGCTGGAGTTTAGACGTGTTCCAGATACAAAAAACAAAAAGAGACAAAACACACCAAAACACCAAACCACCCTCAGAGACTGAATCCAAGGTGCTATTGTTGGTCAGTTTTCAACTGTTTCTCTTCACTGGTCATACTATGCTGGAGCCGATATGGCAAACATTACAGGAAAAATAGTAAATTCTTAACTTATTCCATCTCCAAAGTTGGAAAAATCAGACCGTTACTAAAATAAACAATTTCTCAATTTCGTTCCGGCAGCCGGGGTCCCGCAGCGGCCACGGAGCCATGGGGCGGGCGTGTTGGAAGGTGGGAAGTCCACAGATAGAGGAAAACTCACTCGGAACGGGCACAGTCCAGTTCAGCTGAGCACGGGCTCAGGTTAAGGCAGTGTTCCTCACAGAAGAACACATCGGAAAAAGCTGCTTTTCCTTTGTTGGTCGGGGGTGATTTTGACGCCCTGGTTGTTGCCTTGTGGACTATTACCCTCCTGAAAAACAGAAAGGATTTTTCCCACAGTGAAAAAGGGTGAGCTGGAGGAAAAGGTACTTGAGTCAATGTAGAGAAGACTATACCCCTAGTATTTAAACAACTCTTCCTATACGTCCTCATAAACAATTCACTCCTACTTCCCATCTTGGACTAGTTCAACCTCCCCTGTCTCTTTGAAATCTCCAGGGGGCACACCAAAATGGAGTCCTGGGTAGGAGGAAACTAGAGTGGTCAGAACAGAGAATAACCAAGTAGGGAGAGTAAAAAGAAAAAGGATAATAGATCAGCGATGAAGAGTTGGGCTGAAAGGGACCTGAGAGGCTGTCTAGGACAACTTTTCTTATTTTATGCAGGAGGAAACTGAGGGCCAGCAAGCTAAATGCCTTGAATCTGCTAGTGTTCCCCTGGGTGACTTGGGATAAGCCTTTTCCTTTTGCTCTGCCTCACTTTCTTCATCTATGAAATAAGGGGTTTGGGCCAGATGATCTTTGAAGGACTGTAAGGCTCAGACATCTTGTTCCCCAGCTCTGTCATTCTACGTTCCATATTCTGTTTAAGCAGGCCACAGCCTTGCTGGGTTTTTGCATTACTGAAAACTTACTAGCAAGACGACGACCTAAGGCAAAAAGGTCAAATGGGAACCTTTCCCTCCTGACTTCTTACAGCAGCTGCATACAGAATTTAACACTGTTATTACATTCAGGTTTCCCTATTAAACACAGCAAATGCTAGTCCCAGCTCAACTTTCCACATGGACTTGGCAAGCCCCAGTTAACTTTACAGATAGTGAGGAAACATCTGCCATAACCAACACTTTATTGAAGAGAGAACTTGTCCCCAGGGGCTAAATGGAAGGTCTGTCATTATTTTACTGCAAATATACTTCCCATTATTTGGAATGAATCATTACTCACCAATTTTTTGTCCATTTTTGCTTTGATGTCTCTTGCAAGAGTGAAAAATGCCTAGAATAAGAAAGAAAAGTTACTATCCATACTGCATAAGTAGGAAGTTACAAATGACTTAACATCTACTGGAAGGCTTTCTGGTCTGTTAGTTAAATACTAACTGTGCTCTTCCCTAGTGGGTAGCTTACATTCTCATGGCAATACAAAACAATCTGTAATAGTTTAGGGTATGTATATCTACATTTTACAATCTATTTCTTTCCACTCTCCAACCTTCTTAGAGGAACAGGTCCAAATTCTGGTGTGGCCTTCAAGCTTCACCACAATTTGGGTCCAAACTAACTCTCTGGTCTTAAGTCCTAACACTCTCTACAATGAACTTCATGCTGTGCCAAAATTGTTTCTTCTTTAATGTGTAATATGAACTATATTATTTTTCACCTTCATATCCCCAACACCAAACAGAATGACTTAAACAGCAGATAATCTGTTGAATTTTATTTTCTACATCTATGACTTTGTCCATAACATTCATTTTCCAACCCTGATTCTCCCTACTTCTATTTAAATCCTATCCATCATTCAAGGAAGGCCTAATGAAATTTCCTCTCCTCCTCCAGGAAGCCTTTTCCTGACTACTACAGTCCAGAGACATCTCTCCTTCCTCTGATCTGCCTTCAGCACTTACTTTGCACCTCTCATTGGTGGTTTGTTATTACTATTAATTATCTATATATATGTTTGATTTATCGAAATAGACTGTGGACTCCTTGACAGCAGCAACTGAATTATGCTTCTTTGTTTCCCTGGCAGTTGCTACACATAGGACCTTAGAGGCAGCTGGCCCCAAGTGAATATTTGTTGACTGACTGTCTCCACGCCACTTTGTACCATTATTTAGCTCAGATTTCCACCTAAAGAACTGACTTTAGAAAACACTGAATTTCTCAGGGCTATCAGAATGGAAGGACAAAACCACATATACTATAAATCACCTGGCCTAAACAAAGCTGGGAAGCAGTTCAATGCCTTTTGTATCCACCACAATTTTAAAGCTCTATTATTATTTAAGGGTGACAACGACATACATTATTTACTTATTTTTTAGTGAGGCAATTGGGGTTAAGTGACTTGCCCAGAGTCACACAGCTAATGAGTATTATGTGTCTGAGATTGGATTTGAACTCAGCTCCCCCTGACTCCAGGGCTGGTGCTCTATCC